TAAAAGTTATTTCACATTCAATTCCTCTAGGAACATTTTTTTTTTTCCTCTTGATGAGCCACTGGTGGATATTCATGCCACCTTTGTACGTTTTACTGAGCTGTTGAATTATTACAAAGAATTTTATGTAAATACGCCTTTACCGATTTCAACGAGGACTTGGGAATATTTGCATTGGAGAATATTTTCCGTTTCCGGTGAGATGGGATTAGTAGAGGATGTACTCAGGGAATTCAGTCCGCGGATAAAATCCGTGGAAATGTGTCAATGTCGATTTTATTACGGAGAATAAAGAAATATTAAGATATTTCTTATCATCGTTTTTTATTTTGGTACTTCTGTCGAAATTGGATTGAAACTCCGTTTGATGATTTCAGAGATAGAAGCGCGATTATTGCGAGGGGATTATGAGGCATTGATCGTTTTATGTTGCCCTCGGGGAAACATTTTACGCATTCCCTGATAACGCTGGGGTACAGTAAAAATGGTTTTAGGGCGAATGTGTGGTTAAACTCGGAGGAGGGAAAATAATATTTCATGTGATCCTTCAGTCGTGTAAACAAGGGAAGTTGACTACCTTCACCGATCGATCCTCGAAGGATATCCCATGTTCCAGCTGGGTCTTGAATCGCGACATGTGAATTTCTCCGTTTTTACTTCACAGGGAATTTCACTACTCTCGTGGAAAATTACGGGTGGAATTTCAAGCGGAAAAACTTGACGTTTTTTAATAAGAGAAAGTGATTTCAATATAGGATATATGAAATGGAAATTTTAGTCAATTTAGTGAATATTCAAGGAATTTTCTACTTCCAAACCCAACTGGTACCGATAAATAATAAATTTTTCACTTGAAAGTTAATATTTATTTGATGTGGAATTTTCAACCAGAATGAAAGGGTTTTGTGTTGAAATGAATTCAAACTCAAATAATGGAAAATTTAGATGACTCTGTGATTGAAAATTTTAAACAGTACAGAGATCATTCATATTTCATCGTAGAAGCGAAAAAGAAGGGAAACATTGTCGAAATTTGTTCGCAGCTAATCAGTTTCGCTACGACGTGAAAGTTTTCAATGAGTTGTGAGTGAGGTATGGTTGGATATTCGGTGGAATGAGGGTGAAAAAAAAAGTTCTGGTCTCAGGGACAAGCTGAACTTAGAAACTGGAGACGTGGGAAAACTCGAGTGGCGATGCTCGCTCGTCAGCTGAGAATTTCGCAAAGGCCCTCCCTTTTAAATTCAATTTTTAGTTGAGCAAGTCGTGGGAGTGAGTCTTGAAAAATAAATGTTCAGATGCCAGAGGTTGAAGGACATGAGGAGATGGTTGAAATTTTTGTGACTTCATTGGCACTGAAATTTAAAGTGTAATTTCCTTAGGAATTTTGAAAACTGAGTGAAACTCTAACTCTTCTAACATCGGACTCTCAGTGGAAATTGAATTGAATTGAATGAGATCATGATCAGGACCCAATCGGAGATCAGGCAGTGATCAGGCAAAGATTCAATTTGTTATCGATTCATCAGACGTCTCTCTATTCATTCATGGACTGATTGGGACTATCTAGATGACGAATGTGCCAAAGTCTTATGGGTAGAGCCTGATGGTCGCAGGTCCGATGGTCACGCGACGCAAGTCACGAGCCTCTGGTCGACATGTGCGGTGAAATCACCCCTTTGGCTTTAACTAATTCCACCCTATCCCTAAGCAATTACAGGGGAGAATTCCCCCCAAAGACGAAGCCACTCCAACCACGCCACTCTGAACATTTTTTTTTCACGAGTTCACCGTTTTTTGCCATCCACACATTAATTCCAGACTTTCCAATGCTCGCCATTTGGTTGCTCATTCGGTCGTTTTATTTTAGATGAGCCAATTTCTTTTTAATTTTCATGATAAAAATTGGGCAAAAAGCAGAAGTGAAAAAATTCAGTGAAAAAATTCAGTGAAAAAATTCAGTGAAAAAATTCAGTGAAAAAATTCAGTGAAAAAATATAAATGAGATATCTTAGAAATTTTTTATAAATGCTTGTGGACTTTTTAGTTATTTTGGAATGATTTTTAGGACTTGGCGAGAAAATCAGGCAGGTATATTTTGAAGAAAATGGGTTTTGACGGTTCAGATCGTTTTACATCACTTCCAGGATAAATTAAAGAACAGAAAAATTGAAACGTTGGAAATTCATACCTCATGTTTCGACATGCTTCAAGGTATATCTGTGATTTACTCCATCCGTTTAGTCAAAACTTGTTTACTCATTCACGTGATGCAGCAACTCACGTAAACTCATAAAAGTTTGCATGACCTTTTCAAAATGTATTTTCACCGACTTGTATTATAAATAAAGTCATGATGGTAGATTTTTCCCTCTCGAGAGCTACCGGGAAAACTCAGGACACCACTGAATTATCATATAAACCACAAAGTTTTGTCATTTACCAGGAAACAAAGTTGATTTTATATTCGTGACAGAGGGATGGTACACGAGCTCTTTACAGGACTCGTTCCCATCGTCCGAGGGGTAAACGGAATTGTCTACACTTAGGCTATTCAGATATTCAAAGATAAATTCCCTATGCAGTAGACTCCCGTTATAATCGCGTGTATGGGGCTCTAGACTCTAGACTCTAGGGGATGAATTCTGAGAATCCAACTATATGCAACTGCACCCACTACATGCTCTCGCCACTGTAAACTCAATTTGTTTATAACAAATTCGAATACGAGATAAATTTATTTTTCCGCTTTATTTTTCACGGAATTCAGGCCGACGCCAGACGAAATAATTCATTATTCAGAAATGAAACTGAACAGATTTTTAAAAAATGCAATTGATATTAATGGTATTGCAATGCAATACCATAAATATAAAAATAAATTATAAATAAATAAATATAAAGTAGAATATAAATATAAGATAAATTTCCTCGAAACTTGACTGGAACATGAAAATGGTTTCCGGAGTGTAGTCGATCCATCAGAAAATGTAATTCTGCGGAGACATTCCATTACGAGACCCACCCATAAGCCTATGGATCCAATTTCTTTTGTTTAAACAATGTCGACGATAAACACGGATAATACGTGATGTACTGAGACAACAGTGTTTACCCGTGTCTAACAGATTTACCGTAGATTAGCCACTTGTACCCAGGGTTGACTCAACCCGAATAAAACTACTTTCCACGCTTAATTTTGAAAAGTCTTCTCGTTGTTAGACCATCGACTAGGGAACCCTGTGTTCACCGTTAATTAAATTTCCCCCAAGATACTAAAACGAGCAGAGGAATTATCAGGTTGCAGGCATGGGAGTAATTTACGACACCATGAAATTGGCTAAAGTTTCTTTTCTTAACTGTCGGAGTGAGGATGTCCAAACCGCAAAGTTGTTTCAACAGTTCGCTTTCAGAAATTGGCGACTGCAGTAAATAGTGTGCGTATGAAATCTTCTTAGACAACTAGATGCATTCTAGCATATATAATCCAAACAAATGTCTCACCGGAGCATCTGGGGATGATATGTGTGTGGAAGTGGTAAGATATTATCGCATTGCGAATGATCCACTCCTCACAAGACTTGTTCCTGAATTTAATCTCTGAGGATTCACAGACGAGGGGAGTTGAGTTTGAAGACAATTTGAGAATTCATTAATTAATTGTATTTCATTAATTAATTGGCTGTTTTTGACAGGAAATTTATGGATATTCGGCGAATTCTGGATGCTTGAAAATTTTCATTCAGTGCACAACTCGAATATAAATTATGGATCGACCCCTTCGTTACCGATTCACCCACTTATTGAATTATCAATTAAACGGATGATATTCCCGCATTCGAGAACCTCTCGCTATAGCTCAGCATTGTGGTTAACCGCGATACTAGCTGATGGGCTTGAGTTGGTAATTAGTGATCAATCTGGTCAAAGGAAATATCATTAGAAATTGTGGAAATGGAATTGTTTAATTTAATCGTAAACCTAAATAATTAAATCATGAACCCCATTTAAACCTCATTAATTACGAATCAGATAATGTCGAGGGCTTGCTGCAAAATTATCTCCAATAATTTCAGACATCATTTGGTAATATTGAAGATTAACCAGTGGTTTGTCAGCCGGAAAGATCATTGGAAAAGTGCGCCAGGTAATACTCGCAATTATTCAAGTAATTATTCAAACAATTACTTCAAACCTGCGGCGTTTCCCGAAATTTGCGCATTTCCCTCTGTACTTCAGCTCCGAAAGATCAACATGAGCATTCTAATTACGAAGTTACCTCGGAAAAATTGATTCCGGATCTTTGGTACCCGGAAAATGGGGGTTTATCGACTCAGCGAAAGTAGGTTATCAAGAACTCACTCGGAAAATTCACCGGAGGGAGAAATTCGATGGGAATTTCTATATAGTTGAATCCCTCCCCGAATTGAATCAATCAATCGACTCAAAGATACAATCATCCCGTCATTTTTTCCATTCGGCGAAAAAAAAAAAAATGCCACCTGGGGTGTCTCTTCGATTTCAGCGAAAGGATTTCCGTGTCTCTTCTAATTTTCAAAACCGAATCACAGAGTCTCGAGCTTAGTGACTAGTTCCAACGTGGAAAAAGGCCAGTTATCACTGAAGGGGAAAAAGGGGGGAAAGAGGAAAAAGAGGGAAAAGGGAGAGAAGAGGGAGAAGAGAGTAAATCCGAGGTCACGCGATAACTTTCGGGTCTTGCTGTACACCCAGGACAATTACACCTTTCTCCTCCTGTTTCTTTTTACTTCATTTCCCCTAGCTCCTAAATATACCCTTTTTTCTCGCGACTCGTTTAGCTTCACGAAGCTTTTGTTCCCCTCGTCCCTTTTTAACTTGCAAATTTCCTCTTTTCTCCTTTCACTTGCATCGCTCCTTGTTATTCATCAGACCAACTTCCACGGTGTTGTTCTTTTTTCCCCTCACTTTACTCAGATGTATTAACACTCATAATTAATCTGGCTTTTTAAAATTTTTTTTTGCAGTCACGGAGAAGGAAATCCGACAGTGGTAAGTCCATTTATAGAAAAATAAAGACATTGAGTACTCGGGCCATCTCTCTTTTTTTTTCTTGGTTCTCTTTAATTCTAGGCATAAAGGATTCCTCAAGGACTGTCCCGATGGTCTTCTCACTGAACAGGTACTGTCTCGGGATTTTAGGATTATGCAAACACCTGGGTTTACTGGAAGCACTCTCTTGAATTTTTATATTTTTTTCCTCTCCCTTGTCGTCTTGTTATAGGGATTTATCAAGATCTACAAGCAGTTCTTTCCACAAGGCGATCCATCCAAGTTCGCTTCTCTGGTTTTTAGAGTTTTCGATGAGAACAATGTGAGTTTATCGTTTTACAGTCAATCAGGCTTTCAAATTACATTTTTTTTCAGCCATACTTGTACAATTAATGAATTCTCCTTCAAATACTACGACTCCACGAAATAATTATCACAGGTTTTAAAAGTTATTTCTGCATCCGTAAAACGTGGCAAACCAAAAATTTGATTAATTATTCATTCATTTAAAACGAATCAACAATTAATTTTCTATTCTGAAAATATTTATCAGATTATCGAAATTCCATAATTTGATAAATTCCGCGAATAAAAAAAGTTTTTGGTTGTCCTCAAATATTTCTTGATATATGAAAGAGAAATACGTGATACAGCTTAGCCATTAACTTCTGTCATCCGATTTAGTTTATTTATCCCCTATAAAAACACTCTTTCAATATTTAAACAGGACGGTACGATAGAATTTGAGGAGTTCATCAGAGCCTTGTCAGTAACGTCAAGAGGAAATCTAGATGAAAAATTGCACTGTGAGTATCATCTTGTTTGTCCTTTCTCTCAACCAAATTCGATCAACAAAGAGAAACAAAATAAACCGAATAACTCCATCCATATAAACCCGTGAATAAAAATGCGATCAAAAATCCCTAACACTTCAGGTTTTACTCATTGTTTATTTACCACCCGTGGTGAGACCACATCGGCAAGCCTTTCGTAACCAACTAAATCCCCAGCTGAAAAAAAAAGCCCTCGTTTATATTTCCACGTGGAAAAGAGCTAACGAACGCAGATAGGCGTGAAACAAACGAGTAAGATAGAAAAGCGAGTGTATGACTTCATAAAAAAAATACGAGCACTCGGGGGATTTAATTAATCGGTTGAAATTCTCGGAACGACAAACAGTCATAGGCAAACAATTCAATTCCACAGTCCAGTTACATTGGATTTTGAAAAATAAAAATATCCGCGGACAGTACAAGAGAATCCGTGGAAATTCACGTGTTAATCATTCCCTTCGTTGTACATATGTACATCGATGCACCTAACACTTCCCGAGAATCTGAAATATCGCACCATGGAAAAATAAATAAAGTTTTTTCCTCACCATAGAATTCCATTAAATAATTTCGTTACATTTATTGCATAGAAAATTCTTTCTTTTGGCCCCAGCAAATATCGGGAGAGCAAATTTATCGGTATGCATTGCCTGAAAAATATTCTCTGCCATGAAATTTTCCAATTTTCGGGCAATTTCGACGGGTAGATAACAGAGTGATAATAGATGCTCGAGATATTCTAATAACTTTGGAAATTTAATCGAAACGGGGAGACTTGATCCGAAATACTAAAGTACACTCGAACTTTCGTATATAAAAACAGAATTTCGATCATCTCGATTTATCCTATGAACCCTCGCAGTTAAAATAAAAATGTTCTTCATTGCAATCACCGATAATATCGATTTCACGGAATTTTTTTTTATTCGTAATATAACAAATAGATAATATCTGCCACTCCTGGAATTTGATTTAAAAATATCACAGAACCGTTTCTACGGATTGAATTCCAAAGTCGATATTAATTTTAATATTTGTATTAATAATTAAGGGCTGTGCGACTAATTGTTACTTTTTGACGAAATTTCAGGGGCATTTCGACTGTATGATGTTGATAACGATGGGTTTATCACGCGAGAAGAAATGTACAACATCGTCGACGCGATATATCAGATGGTGGTGAGTTTTAGTCGATTTTCTGAAAACTCAACAATTTCCCCACCTCCATCCTCTTCAGGACGATTACAGAGCTTTAAAGCCCTGTCGACCCCGGGGTAACGAATAGCAGGTCGTGAAATAGCGCTCAGAAATGGCTTTCAGTTTGTGCTCGAAAGGGTGTGCCCTTTTTTGGGGAAGAGGATAGAAATAAAAAATATATTGGAGAATTCAGACTTTCCAGGAGCTAATAAACAATAATGCTAGTGAAAATTTTGAATTAGCCCGGGTAAAAAAAATTGTAATCGCAATATTTTTTCCAAATTTTCAAAACATTTCTGGAAAACTTTTCGGAAAATTTTTCTTTTGAAACAAAAAAAAAATTGGGAAACATAACAGTTTTATTTTTGGGGAATGTTTTGAAAAATTTTCCAAAAATTTGTTTCGGAAAACTTTTTTTATAATTTTCTAGAAATTTTTGCGAGTATAATTTTTTCTTTTAATTATACTGTTGTTTTCTTACTTTTTTTATTTTTCAATATTCTCAGAAAATCCCGCATCTAAATTATAAAAAAAATATTCCGATTACAATTTTGGCGAAAACTGCAATAATCCTATGAATGTCACTTGAAATTATTAGAATAAATATTTTCTTATCACTGATTAAATTGAAACGCAATTAGATTAAAATAAATTAAAATAAAAAATACACCGGAGAAATTAGAGAAAGTGATGGAGTACACATTAATGGAGAATAAAAATTCAAAAGTCGAGGGTACAACGGAATAACTCAACAAAGTCCTAAAACTCTATATGTACTTTGTCTAATATAAATGCCAAGTTCGTTGATTAAAGGGGAATTTCACGTTTACGTTAAAGTTTGCAATAACGTTGGATGTGGTTTACGGTGGTTTTTGAGGTGGAATGGGGAATAGTGAGGTGGAGAATGCTGAGGTAAGTGAGAGGAATAGCGGCAATCCACAGATAGCCATGCCAAAGACACGTACAAGTTGTTGGGTTATATACATTGCCTCGAGAAGTGAGCAAATAACCTCTTGAGACTTTAACTGACGCTCCACTGATACACGGGCTAAATTCTGGTGAGCGACATTCCCCGGTATCTGATTGAAAGTTAAATATTTCGATGATAAAGTTGGTTGAATCACTGGATTGAACGACTCGGCTAAGATTGATCGTCTGGAATGATTTAATGCTGTCTCTACAAAGTTTTACGGTGATGAGGAGAACTTCTATTTTTACCCGGAGTTCTTCATCAAGACGGGGAAAGATTTACAGAAATGGATTCTATTCCATAAATTTATTTTTTCGTTCACGAGTTTTTTCTTGAATTTCGAGGACTGGAAATCGCTGGATATTTACCGATAGAACGGGGGAAAAGAGAGAAAATAATTCGGGGACTATTGATTCGGATTGTGTTGTCTTATTGAAATTCATGCTGAGATTTCACTCTCATTCCGATGAGCAGATCGATAAATAAAAATCTTTATATATCAGGATGATTACTCGCAATTCGATAACAATTTAAAATGAACGTGAAGAAAATAAAGTTGCCGTTTGAAATAAATTTCAGGGCCAGCAGCCACATGCGGAGGATGAGAATACGCCGCAGAAGAGGGTAGACAAGATATTCGATCAGATGGATAAAAACCACGACGACAGGCTGACACTCGATGAATTCCGCGAGGGAAGTAAAGCCGATCCAAGAATCGTCCAGGCACTGTCCCTCGGTGGAGAGTAACCCATATTCAATCCCTCAAAAATCCCCCAAAAAAATTCAATCCCCTGTAATTTTATTTACCCCCCAAAATATTTATCAACGAATACCTGAACTATCGATGCAGATTATTATCTGTAATAACTATTTGCCATCACAAGATAAATGTCAACATCTCAATTTTGTAGATGGACTGATATGAAATTATGTGAAGAACTAAATTCCCATTGGTATAAATCCGACGAAGTGCGAATAGGAGAAGTGCCCTTTGTGGATGGCAACTGGAAGAAAGCCAACTCGGGAATTTAGGGATGGAAAAGGGGCAGATATTGGTCGATCGAATGCCGACACTACTTTCGGGTTAACCCGGCACGTATTTGCCGGTGTTTGTAAAATCCCCGCGTAGATTCGTCGAGCGAGACAAGAAAAGTAAAAAAAAAATCTACAAACGATACAGTAGAAAAATGAGGGAAAAAGCGAAAGAGAATAAAAAAAAAAAGATGAAGCGATAGAGATGAGTTGAGAAGAAAGGAAAAAGAATCAACGAGGGGGTATCTATGACGATAGTCAACCCCTTGATATGGTCGGCCTACATAGATATATATCGACAACGTCCGGCTCGAGATTAAACTAACAAAAAAAATATATATAACATAAGTTTTAAAACAAGTTTTTTGCGACCACGCGATGACCGAGTTTTAAGCTCTCTCCGCACGATATGCTCTGTCCTCTTCTCCATCCCCATCCCCCAATTCGACCGAGATTGAATGAAGTGAAAATTGTAATAAAACTTCATTGAGGTCGTTTTTTAGCGCACAAAATCATCTAATAATATTTTTAATGTTATTGTTATTAGATTAAATTTTTCAACGTGTTGGAGAAATCCTGTTGTGTTGCGCTGACGTGTCCCTGTGATAGTGAATTGACGGAATATACGGAGAAAATATAAATTTGATAATGACTGTGTGATCACAGGGGTGAAGAGCCAATGGGGAAAAAATGTCGAATTCAATTCGTTTTGGTATAATTAATTCATTTCATTTTTCAGTTCTTCTGTTAGATGAAGAAAAATGACTGTTTACGTGATTTCTCGATTTTATTGTATCGATAACTTTTATCAAAGACAACCGAAAACATTTCCTGGAGAAAAATTCAGTGAATGCAATCATGAAATCTCGGATGGACAATTATAAGAGCATTAATTGTTTTAAACTCATTATTAAAAACGATTGTTTTGACGGTTGAAGACGAATTGTTGGATTCTTTCCGTGTATTGGTCACGTATTTTTTGATGGCGGTGGGTAATGATGGAGGATGAAAAAAGAAAGAAATTGGAAAGAAAGGGGAAAAACGGGAGAGCGAAATGAACCGCGATGTCAGAGAGAAAATGAGTTTGGATTTCTCGATGTCTGGGGTTGAGATTGAAATCTGGGATTGAAATGTCGAGTGATATTTTCCCGACGCCTTTCAACATCTCTGATATTTTATCGATATTGATCGAGATTATTATAATGTTTTCGCTGTGGTTATTTTTTTAATCGGAATTTTTATGGAGAATGAAGATCCATTGGTGGCCACCACGCGATAGACTATCACCAGAATTTTTCAGTTTTTCCCTCTTTTCCTGCATTTTTATCATTGGATCGACTTTTCTCGCGAAATTCCTGATATTGGCAAACTTTCTTCGTGTTTCTTTACTATCAGCCACTCCATACGTCTATCCACACCCACCTATTTCTACTTCTTTACGTATGGACGGAACTCTCGATTCTCCACTCGAACCGCTAGAGCTTTACTCTTCAGCTATTTGAACAGCCACATGATGGAGAAAGAAACAATTTTTGCATTTTCCGAATTTCATCGCAAGAAAATTGCATAAATTACTTCGCCCCGGCGACTGTCACTTTTTGGCTGAATATCCGAAGAATTTACAAAATCAATGTAAAACATCAATTATCATTATCATAAGAAACATGATTTTCTTGAATTTTCAGTAGCAATAAAAAATCTTGTGAGCGATTTTTAATTGAAATTTAATTCAAGCCCGTAATTTGAAATTCAGATGACTTGTGACCGAAATTTGAAGAAGTTTTTACCATAAAACATAAAATTCGATTCAATTTCCATTCGACCCAACGTTTCCATCAACTCTTTCCTTCATTCGTTCTTATTTTAGTGCCATTATTTCGAAAAGCTGAACGAAGAATATGCACCAAACACCCGAACTTTCTTTCCTCAAACCTGTTTAAACAGCAATATACGAGAGAACAATCCAAAAACGAGAAACAATTCCCGGCCACTGTTTTATGTCGAGTGAAATCGTCACTCCAGTCAACATCTCATTACTTGAAAGTGTCCCCGAGTTTCATCGACCAAAAGATCATAAAAGCCCTTCAATAAATGAAGAATTCCCTCAATACGCGATTGGTAATCGACGCGCAGAGTCAAGAGAAGCCGAGAAATTCGCGAAAGAAGAATATTCTAATCAACATAAAACTTTAACATCTCGCTACAGCCATTAAAGTCACTGGAGCCGTACGATCATCAGCGTCGTTGACACAAAATGTTTTTAAAAAATATATATATATTCACATTTCACATCACCGAGTACTGCTGGAAACATTGTCCCCGGAGTGTGACAATCCCCTTCATTTCCGAGTGTCCAAGAGTTACATTGACAAGAGTCTCATAAAAAGACTCGTGATAGTACTCGTCCTAACGAGACTCTCCAGAAGTAACGCCTGGCAATGACAGCATTTACTGCCGGCAATTCTGCAATGGTCTGAACTGGTATATTCGTACAAACACCCCGTAAATTCATCGTTGCAACATGAGGTACATACAGTCACACTGGGGCGGTTTCCATGTGGATACATCCCGTCATACTACACCAGGATAATTTATTCGAGGATCACCTACGCTGCAGTGCGTAACATCCGATAAATTCTATTGATTTACCATCAGCGCTGACGCAACCAATAAATAAACTTTCGGTAAACTGAAATCGCGAGAAATTTCAGTCGCAATGTCATCTGAATTAACTGCACGCGTTAGAACTCAAGTTCTATTGAAAATATTCCCCAACTTTCTCATCTACTGAGAAAAGAAAGTATTTTTTTTTTTTCAGGATTCATTTACTGGGGAGAAGTGGTATTTACGTGAGAATTTTATTTCTTCGGGTGATTTCGGGTGAAGAAAATTCGGTATTTAATGAAAATAAATGATAATCGGTGGAGTTTATTGGGATCAGCTGGTGAAAATTCAAGAAAATAATTCATTGATAGTTGATACTAATTGATTTTTCAATATTCTTAATATTTTCGTCCGCTGCCTAGCACCACCAACACCCCCTTTTAGCGATAACAGTTAACGAGGTATAATTCAGTCTCGTTGAACCTTTCTCATAGAATTACGAATTGAAAATGATATCGCGTGAGTCACGTGATTGTTACATAAAAAGGGAAATAACGTTGTTAGACACCGACACGAGGGACGTATGCAATTTTAGAATATTTGTTTCAACAGCAGAAACTAAAATAATAAGTTCCTTATTATTTAATTTTCCACTCGAAAGTATCATTAAAACGACAGATGGAAATTTACCACCTGTTCAATTCCCAAATACAAATCAGAATGAACAATTGAAATAAGCAATAAAAAATTTAACAAAAAGAGGAGAAAGACTTATTTGGTCTTATTTGGCAATGGTGAAATCGTTAGATCTCACTGTCGCCTTTTTTTTTTTTCATTGTTTTTTCAATTTTTCCTCTGGAATATACAACTAAAAGACTCTTCCGCATTGGGAGAACAATTTGAAGCAATATAAATGAAATCGATGATTCGTGTCTCTCCCAGAATTCAAGTCTCGTGCACATTGAATCGTGGAAAATCTCATCCTCGTTTCTATCGTACTCTGCATACGTACGAAAGAATTGCGAGAGCCTTTTGTTTTCTTTTTCCATTCAATAAACCTGGAATGAAAGGAATGAAGAAAGCGGTTTATTCTTTCTAAGCCTTTCCTTCTATTGTCGAGTTATAAAGTTTGCATAATGGCAGGAAAGAATGGACTGCGGGCAAAAAATGTGCAATGAAAAGGCAGTTAAATATTTTGGAAAGTATTCCGAGTCTGTTCGGTGTAAAGGTTATTATTACTCATTTCAATTCACAATTCACATGTCCGACGACTCCACACTTTGTTCAGATTTGTTTACTGTCTGATCTTTCTCGAGTTTAGTTCCCTCAGTACAATGAACGTATAAATTCAACATTTCTCCCCACTGTCCATTTCACTTTGCTGCCCTATTTTGGCCCATTCTCCGATAAATATATCACATTTCAATCTCGGAAGTGACAAGTTCCAACACGAAACGGAAAAGATAAAAATCTACTACGGGAAATAAAAAAAAATGGTAAAACTATTGGAAAGACACGGAGAGTAATTGATACCCGAGGATGAATAAATAATTGTAAAATTAAACTTAAATGAAATATTACTAGTTATCAAAGTGAATTAATAATACGCAGGATTGTGGTTACGATAAGTACGTTAAGTAATTTTTACAATTTTCAAGTGACATAAAATTATACCATAAATGAAAAAGTGAACCCACAAATTCTTGGATTGTTCGAGTTTCAAGTAAAAACGCTTTATGTGTGATACTAAGTAGATTATTCCCTCGAAATGGTAGAGCTGAAAAATCTAGAAGCTAAAACTTTTCAAGAGAATGTTTTAATGTCAATATAAAATAAACTGTTCTACGCCTTAGATATTATAAATAGTGCTTGAGTTATTTTATAAAACTTCCATCGCTCATGCTGTTGGTAATTATGAGTTGAAACGCGCGATTTTATTTTACAACATCTATCATAATAAAGGCAATGGAATGAGATTTACCGAAGAAGTTGAGTGGAAACGACTCTAGTGTTTAAGTTTATCGCAATAGTTGGCTCTCAATAAATCATGGAGAAGGAATTTGAGTGGCAATTGAATCTGTTCCACTGTATCTCGACTGTTCTATTTTCCCTCAATCACCTTTCTGATTGCATTCATTTATTAGCAAATTGCTATCTCATCGATTTTTCTCTTCAACTTCTTCTCTATCTGTCTCACACTCGGCACAAAGCAAATTGGTCTGTTAAAAAATTAGAGAATTGTCTATAGTGACTCTAGAATAATTAGTCCGCCTATTGTGTTTTTAAGAAAAAATAATAGATTCATTATTAACTATTGAAGCTGCTCGTTAATCAAATCTTTCACTACTAGAACAACTTCATTAAATCAATTACTGTAACATTTACCAATTTATCAATGCTACTGGCATAATTCTTGAAATTATTACTATTAAAACTATTGAAACCGCTACTATTGTTATTATTATGATGAAAAACATATAAAGTTATATCGGATTAACCGCAAGTTATGTCGAACACATTGAATTATCAAATTTCTCCGTCTAAATGAAGAATCACGAAACAAACGGCTAATATTAATATTGAAAGCGATAATAATAATAATCGTCACGGCAATTGTTTTATAAACTTTCTGTGATAATTATTAACAATCAATAATTAATTATTACGATTGGAAAATTTGTGAGATGATTGAGGTGAAAGGCATGTTGCTGTATGCGATGAGTCTCGGATAACCGATTAACAAAGTGAGATAGAAGTAATTGAAAATAAAATTACAGAGCATCAAACATTTACTGCAATTACCCTGTTATTATTAATTCATCTCTTATCTTCGTGCTCCCTTATTTATTTGTATTTTCTGAAAAAAATTTTTGAAAAATTTTCCAAAACATTTCCCAAAAATACAATTGCTTTGTTTCCTGATTTTTTTTTGTTTCAAAAGGAAAATTTTATGAAAAGTTTTCCAGAAATTTTTTGAAAATTTAGATAAAATATTCCGATCACAATTTTTTTTCTACCCGGGAACACACGAATGCCAAAAATTCATAGCTCTTTTTCTAATATTTATAATTTTTTCCCACCATAGTTATTCGACTTCACTAAATCCCATTATAGGGTATTTAAGAATTTTATAGAGATGTTATGCAACAATAGCAAAGTGTGCTGCACGTAAAGGCTTCCGGATTTTCCTTAGTCTCACTAGTGATGATTAATAAAAAATATATTTTCATCACGAGACCACTATTTACTATTTTTTAATGCACTCGTTACATCTTAGAATGGATTTAAAAACTGCCAATTTGTAGTTATATCATCCGTAGGTAGTTTCTCACAGTAATTGCACAGACCTAACTACTCATCAGAGGTGCAGTATCACGCAAAGGAAATTATTTCCAATTAATTCAACGCAATGCGTACAATTACCCATAATACACAGGCAATGGAAGTACTGCCCAATGTCTAAACCCCTTAGTGACATTCCAGGTTCACAACAGATAGGATTGTCCCTTCTCTAATGCTAACTAAATATGTTCAATTATTATTTCACACCAATTTTACAAGAATCGTAATATCTGCACGAAGTTTAACTATCTGCCAGTAACGGTCCATTGTTCAAGCTTAATGGAGAAGAGCTCGTTTACATAACAATCGAGAATATAAAAGAGGTTTGAAAAGTCTGAATACACCTCAGATACCAAATACCCAGTTTGCCACAAAGATCAGTGTCCAGGATGTTTTCTTCAGTGGAAATAAACGTTCTCGACGTCAGTTCAACAGATATTCAAAACTTACTCAACTTATCACTAACGCAATGACAATATTAATCCTAATTAAACTGATTCTCAACAGCAACTACCGAAATTAACGATGAAGAATGGAATAATCAAAGCAGAAACCTATCCCTACAGACAAGATGAGAACAACATTGGAAAAATTCTGCTTACTGGGATGAGAAAGAATCCCAAGCTGGTGAATCAGGTGAGTGAACAGAAAGAAAAGCAAATAAATAGGGAAATTTATGGTGCCGTATGCAGAACGTACGAAATATGTGCGCAGATTGATGCAGCAACTGGGAAAGAGGACACATTCGGAGAAATAGCGGATAGAACCGTGAAATGTGCTGTATGGCTAGTGAGTCAGGGTGTCAAACCCGGGGATGTTGTTGCAATATGCACGCATAATCATATTGATACAGTAGTTCCTGTGGTGGCATGTTTATGCATCGGTGCTATCTTCAATCCTTGGTGGGATCACGGTTTGAACCGAGGTATTTTTCCCCACAAGTTCCTTCATGACGTGAGTCATTACTCATTCTTTACTCAGTCTTTACTCATTTATTACACATTTATTTGGCGGACAGATACAGCGAAGCACTTCATGGCCCTCACAACGCCAAAAGTTATTTTCATCAATGAAGATTTCATAGACATCGTCTCCGAAGTGGCGCATGATCTCAACATGAGGTTGAAGATTGTTGGATTTGGGGGAAACTCCAAATTCGAGTGCTTTGATGATATAATACGGAAGTGTAAACCCAAGGATGTTGAGAGTTTTCAGTGCACCGAGCTGTCTACCAATGAGAAACCCGCGTACATAGAGTACACCTCAGGCTCCACCGGATTACCGAAGGGTGCACTTCATTCTCATAAATCGCTGTTTGGAAATGTAATGAATGTTGGCACATTTGGCGGATGCAATAATGTCGTTCTCTGCTACTCCAATTTGTGTTGGATCACTGGGGTTCTCTGCACCCTGTCTTCCATTGCGTATTTTCAAAAGAGGATTATTGCCGCGATTTTCACTCCACAAAGTTTATGTGAACTTGTGGAGAAATATAAGGTAAATTCGACGACTTATAGGTACTGCATTCGGGAAATGATGCCATGTCTTCTCTCAGAGAAAAATAACTTCTCTTTAAGCCGTATCTCAAAACGTTTTCTGAAGTCCAAATATTATTGCATTCAATCTCAATCGATATTTTTCATGTTCGTATTTTATTTCCTCGCAATGTCTTGTCAATGTTGATTATTAATCAAGTGAGAAGCTTGTGCAAACAATTGATCGTGTTACTCTCGGAGAGTTGGAGTGAAATTATGGAGTAGTGATCTGCGATTATTAATTAGATAACGTGGATATTAACCGGAACGAGTGCTGCCAATAGGCTCCTCAAGTCTGGACTGATGGGAAAATATGATCTTTCGTCTTTGAAGTCAGTTTGGATTGGGGGTGCTGTGTTCAAGCAGGAAGCTCAGGACGCGCTTCAGGCAGCATTGCCTGGAGCATACGTCATACAACTCTACGGTAATCAATGTTCTTCATACGAGGGGAGAAATAATTGGTAAAAATTACGGAGCAATTGACGGGATCTGGAACAATAAGGAATCGTTCACCAGCAGTTTTGTAGGAATGAAAGCAATTAAATCCGAAACATTCAATCTTCAATTATTCAAGCAACTTCTCAATCATTGAAAAAAAATGTTGGTGAACAATTCTTACAGAACAGTTCGTAGAATTCACGTGACGATTCATACAATTTCTGATCCAACTCGTACTTTTCATTGAACTTGATTTTTACGCTTTTTATCTGGTAATTTTTATTGAATTTTTGTCTCCGTGGATTCGGGAACAACAAAGACAATAAATTAAAAAATGAATTGTTTGTCAGGTACAACGGAGACGGGAGGCGTCTCTATACACCAAACTAGAAAAGCGAAACCGAATTCCGTAGGTACACTCGCTAGATGTTTTGAGATGAAAATAATCGATCCCGATAGCGATAAAGTATTAAGTGCAAATGAGAAAGGAGAGCTCTGCGTTAAATCCCCCTTTATGATGACTGAATACTACAAGGATCCCGAGAAGACGCGAGAACTTATTAAAGCCGATGGTATAACCTCCATCGTCATTTCATCGTGGCTCATTAACATCTCGGTTTATTGAAATCTGTCCGGTAATTCCAGGTTGGTTGCACACGGGTGATCAAGCTTATTATGACAGCGACGGGGCTGTTTATATCATAGACAGGCTGAAGGAACTGATTAAATGGAGGGGACACCACGCGTCACCATCGGTTATTGAGCAGATGATTATGACGTATCCTGGTGTAACTGAGGCTGGAGTTGTTGGAGTGCCTGACTGGGAGGATGACGAGAGACCAATTGCTTTCGTTGCAAAATCACCGGAAGCTACGGTAATGCCTTATCATCATCCACACGAAAATCAATTATCAACTGATTAACGATTGATTGCAGATAAGTGAGAATGACATTAAGAAAATGGTTCAGGATAATTTGCCCGAGCAGATGTGGCTTCGAGGTGGTGTACGAATACTAGACCAAATGCCACATACAGCATCCGGCAAAATAGCACGCACCGTATTAAAAGAGATGGCTAAGGAATTCATTCGCAACTCATGATATTGAACTCATTCCATCGTTGACTTTAACATGATTAATTGACCTCGAATGATAATTATATTATGTTTAGCGCTGGTATTTTATCTAATGGAACAATAAACTTGATAACGCCTACACTGACGTCTCATTACTGGTCCAATGCACTTGATGCCGTCAATGCATATCACAATGACTGGCAGAAATTTTCGCTGACTGCTACGCGAGGAAGAATGACTAGCTGACCTAGATGGACCATTCTCCTTTTCTTTATTGGAATATTTCCTCCGTGGAGCGTCCGTGGAATGAATTCCGCAGATAGAGAGCCTCGTAAAATTTCTAAGACTATTATTTTCAACAGTACCGTACTTGTTGATCTTGGATGTCCCCAAATTTATGCGGAAAAACGCTACGTGAAAACCTAATCCTAATTGAAATCTAAAGATAAGTAATCTAATCGATTGAAAAATATCAAATCACATCGAATTGAGTTTTGCGACTTATGTTCATTGATCTAACGTCGGAAATTATTCAATAAAAATTCAGACCAGAATACTTTATCGCGAAGAGTCCACAACAATTTATCGACCACAAACAATGCCATGTTATAAAATCCATTAGATTACCCCTTTCAGATAATTACACATTTACTTCCGCACGAGACTGGTCAACGATTCAGCATGACGTAGAAATATGTAATGAGTATGTAAGTTGTGCGAGTCAATAATACTGTAGAGAGATAGAAAAATAATAGTTGGACTGCCATCAGGAAGACAATTGTAAAAGTCAGTGTTGTCAGTAGTCATTGTGAATTCTCTTTGCTAATTATAACTCATGGAGAATCGCTGAAAAATTTGTTTTAAGATGTCTGTGTCCTAGCTGTAAGTATTATAGTATTGTATAGCCCCACTCCAATGGTATGGATGTGGTAGTGTCGACTAAAATCTATGTGGGTTTTGCGGATTGATGTCAGTCTTCAAGAGGGCCTGCAGTCGTATTATCTCAGCGCAAAAATTACGCAGCGTTTGCGATTCTTCTGCGGTGCTGTGATAATTAAACCATCACTGAGGAGGCGAGTGCCTGATTAGGAAACATCACGGATAAGGTACAGTGACCGATAAAAGATATAGACCGCTGAAATCACACTTGAGATGTCAAGAGAATAATTTTAAATCTGCAATAATAGTCACATGAAATTTCGTCATTCATCATTGACGAATGAATCAATTTTCTGAGTATCCAAATCACCTTCGATTTTTTTATCAAGCATAGCCCTGAGAATGTTGACAATGCAGGCAATAATTTCTCTGAATCATCAGTTGATCGATCATTTAATTGAATTGTACTTGATGTTCAAATCTCACGACGTTATGTTCTTAGAAAGATAAAGAATCTACTTGCAGATGTCCTCAACTCCTGTTTACAAAAATGGAATTTGGATTGGCCCTAAGGTCGCGCCTGAGCCTGATTACTTCCGATTGGGTGAGAAATTGTACAGAGAGCTTGAAGGATCCCCTGAATTTATCGGACAGGTACTGTCATGGAATTATGGAATATTCAGTTTATAATGGAAAAATGGAGATGGAGATTGTTTTTGTGATTGATGATTCAGATCGATGCAATCACCGAGAAGGAGGACACATTCAGTTCTATGTTAGACAGAAGCGTACGATGCGCAATATGGTTGAAAAAACAAGGTGTTCAACCCGGAGATGTCATCGGCTACTGTTCGAAAAACAATCTCGATTCCTTTGCTCCAGTCTGTGCCTCTTTCTACATCGCTGCCATCTTCAACCCATGGTGGGACAGCAGTTTGGACGGAGGTTCGTGATTTCTGAATGAAAGATAAATACTCCGAGATACCGCCCACTGAATAAAAGATAATACTCTCATTTTTCAGATATTATCAGATATTTCATCGAGTATACAAAGCCTAAAGTAATATTTGCTGATGAAGTCTCAGCGGAAATGATTTTGAACTTCATAAATTACACCGATTCGAACATTAAAATCGTTGTTTTCGGAGAATACCGTGGATTGGAGTCGTTCAGAGACGTTATAGCAACGATTAATTCAGAGGATGTTTCAAATTTTCAATGCACGAGGGTACAATCACCTCATACTTCCGCGATAATCATGTACACATCAGGAACGACTTCAAAACCAAAGGGAGTTCTATATTCAAATGGATCATTTGGATATATGATGAGCCACTTTGGTTATTACGAGGGAAAAAATGTTGGCATCTGGTTTTCTACCCTCTGCTGGATAAGTGGATTAGGGGGAGTCATCAGGTCTATTACTCAGAAAATGACCTTCATCAATAATAATTGCAAAACTGAAGAAGAAGCTTGCAGGATGATAGAGAAGTTTGGGGTAACAGAAGAAGCGAGTCGAAGATTTATTGAGCAGTTAATTAATAATCAGTTATTTGATAGGGAACATGGCTGTCAATGGGCACCGCTTTTGCCAATCGTCTTTATAAAACTGATGTGATTTGGAGATACGATTTGTCAACTGTCAATCGAGTCGCTGTCGGTGGAGGGGTCTTGAAATCAGACGTTTCCGTTTTTTTCAGGAGACTCTTCTCAAATGCTTCGATTACATCGCTCTATGGTAATAATCCGTGTCTAGATTCAAATAAAATCATAACCGATAACTATTTGAGTCACTCAATCATAAATTCACTGATTTTACTAAAAATCTTGAACAAAAGCGCACGACTAAAAAAATTAAACTAAAAAATTTTGTGAGTCATTGAATGACGATAAAACCTAGAAACAGACATTTACAAGAAATAGGAAAGAATGGAAAGATATCAGCAATAACTCTTTAAACGCAGAATCAATCCTTTCAGGGGCTACGGAACTGGGAATAACCACCTCTGGACTGATAACTGATGAAAAAACAACAATTTCGGGTAAAGTTGCTCAGAACTATGAGATAAAAGTAGTGGATCTCGATACCAATGAAATTGTTGGACCCCATCGAGAGGGTGAACTTTACGTAAGAGGCGCACCCCGAATGATTTGTTATTGGAATAATCCAGAAGCTACGGCGGAGGCAATTGATGCGAATGGTACTACATATACACTACAACACCGAATTTTCACGACTTTTTATTATTATTATGGAATATTGACAATTCTCATTTATTCTTTTACCAAACCATTAATTTTCAAAATGGAAAACTTTCTTCTGCAGGTACTGTTGAAAATTTTCTTGGAATTCCAATCACAAAGTTATCTGAATTTCCAATGATATAAGTTTGAATCCAATTTCAATTAACAATATTAAATAATAATTGAATTTTTAGTAGACTGAAGATTTCGTGGTTTATCCTTTGAAATTACGAGATTAATTTTCAAACAGTGCAGAATATTTATTCGTGTGGGAAAAGGCGGAGGAGTGATTACGGGAGAAATTTCCTTTATAGGATGGTATCACACGGGTGACGTAGGCTATTACGACGAAGACGGCGATTTTTACATCACCGAGAGGATCAAGGAGCTCATAAAGTATAGACTCCACCATGTGCCACCAGCGGCCATTGAGAGTGTTATACAAGAGCACCCCGAAATCACTGAAGTCGGTGTAGTAGGTAAACCTGATAATAATGACCTGGAACAGCCTCTGGCTTTTGTTACCAAACGACCCGGTGCTCAGGTGGGTATTTCCCAAGTTTTTACCAAATCCACGAGTTGTGAGGGTAACGCATTTTTTCAGGTAACAGAGAAAGAGATAATGAAGCTAGTTGCTGATAAATTGCACGATTGGATGAGACTTCGCGGTGGTGTTCGTTTTTTGGATGAAATGCCTCGAACCGCGTCGGGAAAAATTGCCAAGCGACAGTTACGAGCTCTCGCTAAAACTATGGCATAACGAATTTATGAGATATTTCACTAAGCCCTATCATTGTTTCTAATCATATTACAAATAGCCGCAGGGGATTTTGAGGAAGTTGAACCCCTGCCCCCGGTCCAAATTCTAAATTCTAATTTCATCTATTTTGTACTAGAATCACGGAGTAAATAATTGTGAACAATCCCGCAATAATTGCAATATGTAAATGTTCCGACGAATAAAAAAATGAATAAATAAAGGAGATTGGCTGGCGAAATTTTTCGACATGGAATTATTTTTTGAGATGTAAGCGAGAGCCTGAGTGAAAGGGATAGCGATATGGCCCTAGTAGTTGAATAATTTAATTGATCACAAAGTGTGAGTAACAAATTGAGTCGTTTCGAACAGAAATGACTCATGTCTAATTGGTTTTGCTTATTTATTTATTTCGAAGTGTTAGATAAAGATAATTAAATAGCTATTCTAATTTACCACTGTCATAGATCGGCGAATCATTCGAGGAAACTTGTATTATATTTAAAATTCCGTTGCAAAACAAGCCGATTAGTTTGAAATAAATAAATAAGCCGATTAAAAAAAATCATGTGAGTGAGTTAATCTATCAAGTACTTCAATAATACTTCATTAATCAATGTAAAATTGATTTAATTGTTACGTAAGCTACCCCTATTCTTAGGATAATCATCTAATTTCTCAGTCTCAATGAAGGGTACGTGAATTGATCCATTGCACAGATTTTTGTGGTTGCGTTATATATGTTGAAATTCCAAGTGAAACAAAACGCGTATGGAGCGACTGGACGGATAGATAAACGTACCGCGCATTGAACAAGTACTGGCACATGCATTCCATCCATCATGATTTATCTCATCATCGTGATATCTCATGCGGAGATATACTGAATTTTGGTGTGACCATCCATGAGATACCAAAAAAAAATTGATAACGAACCGACACTGACTTTTTTGCACTCACTAGAGCTTCGTATTCCAAGTATTCAACGACGATACGCAATCTGCAATGCTTGTGGTAAGACATTACAAAATCTCCTTGAAAATCACTTCAAGTTCTTGCCTTTTCTTCTTCAAAGTCAAACTCGAAATCGTACGAAGTCAACTTTGAAGTCATGATGTCACTGATCATGTCATGAACAGGGAGTGGCTAGCCCCTCGAGAATATCAGCTTCTGATTTTTTAATTTGTTGTCCCAAAAAAAGGCAGGTATCACTTCCGAAAGGGGAACCTGGAGAGGAAAGCGTTCAGAGCATCCAGAAGACCACTGGAGGTATAACGAAAAGATCCTGCAATCCCTTAGAGATCATCCTGATGTAATTGGCCAGGTATGTCGTTGATTCGAATTATCTAATGAAGTCGCCACATCTGTAAACTTCCCCGTGCTCTAGATAGATGCTGTAACTGGTGAGGAAGATACCTTCAGAAACATCGAGAATAGGAGTGTGAAATGCGCTTTGTGGTTGAAGGAGCAGGGCGTTATGCCTGGTGACATAATTGCCCTTTGTACCCACAATCAACTAGATAGTCCAATTCCATTCCTTGCATCGCTATTTCTGGGAGCCGTCTGCAATCCTTGGTGGGAAAATTACTTGACGGAGGGTAATAATAATTTCCTACATCCGTATCCGTATGCATCCAGACATATGTAAATTGTGGAATTAATCTAATCAGTAATTGATTTATTCCAGATCTTGTAACGCACTTTCTCACACATACGGAGCCTAAGGTGATATTTGCCAGTGAAGAGTCAGTCCTTTTTATTCAAAATATTGTCAAGAATGTTCGAGCGAATGCGAAGGTAATTGTTCTCGGGAAAGTAAGTGGTCTACAATCACTCGATGAAATTGTAAACCTCCGATATAATGGGGAAGTTGAGGATTTCAATTGTGAAAGGATTGAAAGCGCTGACCATCCGGCAGTATTAATTTACACATCAGGGAGCACTGGAAGACCGAAGAGCGTACTCTTGAGTTACGGTTCGTTAACAGCTTCGTTGGGTAACGATAAAGCTGATGGTATACCGCACAGTAGAGGCTTTTGGAATTCTAGTTTCTGCTGGCTTTCTGCTGTCATAGGAATGATGTTGTGCTTCATCAAGGGTGCCACAGCTGTCGTTTACCCGGCTCCATCAGAGTCCGACATTTGCAAATTGATTGACAAATTCAAGGTGAACACGTCGTATTCTTCACTGTGAATCACGTGGACGATTTATATCCATTCTCTTTTAATTAACAGATTAACTGGATGATTTTGGGGACTGGAGCCATCAATAGGTTATCCAATACCGAAGAAATTTTTACTCGCGATGTGTCTTCCATTGATCTACTGTTTTTCTCCGGCGCTATTGTCAGACGCGACATTGAACAGTTCCTTATGAAAACATTCCCTAATGCAGCTATCTTTCAAATTTATGGTAACACAAAATTTATTATTCATTATTGATTATTAGGAAATTTATTGGGCAAATCCCAACTAGTCCTTTGAATTTTGTTATTTGTCTTCGTAGGTTTTCGGTATCTGAAGGGTTTATTTTTTTCCTAGATGTGGATTTATTTTGATCAATGGTTGGTTTATGAAAAAATTTCGATTTTGGAAAAAAGTCGATATCCCACTCCGAAAATATGAGGTCAAAGCCCCGGAGTGGGATGAAAGAACAATTTTTTAAATAAATTTTTAGTGTACCTAGAGGCTGTACTATCATCTCAAACGTGAATAAATGTGCAATCAACCATTATTCAATAAAAAATGAATTTTGGTAGAATAAATCATCAGCCCGACGCTTTCGCATTATTTTTCCAAAATCGGCAGATATAACCACTTGTCCGTGTATATTTTCTGTAGGTGCTACCGAGCTCGGTGGAGGGGTAACCCTATCAAAAGTAACGAACGATTCGAAACGTGGGACATGCGGACAAGTAATGGAGAACGTAGAAATCAAAGTCATTGACATATCAACGGGAAAAGTGCTGGGACCCAATGAAGAGGGTGAGATATGCGTCAGAAGTCCGTACGTGATGCAAGGATATTACAAAAATGCTGAAGCAACGGCTCTCGCGATTGACTCGAACGGTTAATATGAAATTGATTATGAAAGAATTACAAAAAAATTCTAGCTTCCGCAATAATCAATTCGCTATTTCCATACAGGGTGGTATCACACTGATGATCTTGGCTATTTTGACGAGGATGGCAATTTCTACATAATTGACAGAATAAAGGAACTAATCAAGTGTAAATTAATCGATATAGCCCCCGGAGCGATCGAACAATGTATCCGAGAACATCCTTCTGTCGCAGAAGTGGCTGTCGTTGCTAAACCCTATAGCCTGGACAGAGAGCAACCGATGGCGTTCGTGACGAAAATTCCCGGCAAAGAGGTAGATCCATTTATCTAGTTCCCATCGGATATTCAATTGAGAAATATACGAAATTTATTCAAAGGTCAATGAGGCCGATATCGTGGAACTGGTGGAATCCAAATTATCAGACAGCATGAGATTATCAGGAGGTGTCAAATTCCTCGAACAAATGCCCTACACTCCATCGGGAAAAATCGCTAGGAAAAATCTCCGAGATCTGGCGAGACTCATCGCACGAGAATAATTTTCACCGTTTATTTATAACACGGATAAAAATGTTTGAAATAATAACAGAAATTGAAATAATTTCGGTTGAAATTTGAATGCAAAGTCTTGGAGCAGTTATTGCCGATGGATTGAAATGAAAATTACGAACGAGATTAGGAATCGGTTTCATTTCTGCTATCACAATACTCATTCATTCCATCGATAAATATTGATATTACGAAAGGAATTATTTATGAGTTTGTAATGGGAAAAGTTGTAAAACTCTCAGAAAAAGTCATTACTCTCCGTCCATTAAAACGAGCGCAATTAAGACGTCGATATCGTAAATTACGATAAATATAATTACACGAATTATATCCCCGCATCGATAATTTCACGGAGAGAAAACAATTGTTCCCTATACTAATTAGCCTTTGCCCGTTAAATTCTCCCTTAGGCAGTTGCAGTCACGAAATCACGAATTTCAAACTGAACGCAGTAGAATCCAGTTTAATTTTTTTATAAAATGAGACCCGAGTCCCTCGAACTGTACATCCAGCACAAAACTGAATTAAATAAACGTAATTTTAACTCAACAATAGTACTTTATTAATGGCCATAAAATGGAATAAAAAAAACGAATGAGTTATCAACTTTTATTAAAATCCCCGCAAACTGCGAGCTCCTGCTGATCATCAGAGCGAAGTTATAAGCTCTTTGGATAACCCCTTGCTTGTGCGCTTTTGAACATGGCAACGAGAGAGTCAAGGGTTTCCTGTCCAGTGGGAATGATTTGTTTAGCTGGAAGTAGAAACCCAAACTTCCCTTTGTCACGAAGTTCGTAAGTGTAAGTGATCGGTGTCTGGTGGACTCCTTTTACCCAGTCGACAGAACTGCCACTAGCAATATCTATAAAAATATAATAATTACTCAGAGCCATTCTACAAATGGTCTCCACAATGATCTCACTCCAATCAACCTTGTCATTACAGAAATAAAGAAAATAAACAACAGTAGAAATGGTGTGAATCGGATTTACCAGCATCAAGGCCAAAAGTCCAAAATAAATTGCATACTTGAGATAAATCACTTACAAATAGTCTCAGCCACATTTCCTGTGACGTACTTGGTGCCGTATCTCTTGGCCAACGCATTAATCGTTTTCACTCCGATCGCATACTGAAATTTAAAAAATTATTCAATAAAATCATTTCTCAAGCCGTCTTGAATTTTTTCGCCGGAACAATTCTGACCAGATCATCGTAATTATCGAGATGCTGCTTAGTGTGACCGTAGGGGAAGAGCAACAGCTGAGAATAACTGTGGAACGATATGTAGGCGTAGAATTTGTCGGCTATCGAGCTGATGTACTGAGACATCGATTTAGTCTCAATGTCAGAAAAGGCAGCGGATCCGGCGTAAGTTTCAGCGCATGGAACATTACTGGCTCCACCATCTACCCGGTAAATCACATCAATTAAGTAATGCATTTCAGGATGAAAATTGCATACCCTGTGAATGAATTAGAATGCACTTACTGTTCCATTTGTAGCCCCAGTTGCGGTTGGGGTCGGATCCACGGCAGAATGCACTGTAGGGTTTTCTCGTTTTACGCCAGAGACGGTTCTACGAATTATTATGGTACAATGTACATTTTCCCTCATAACACCATGTTTTATCGTCTCCTCATGTCAAACGAGTGAAATAAAACTTACGGTGGTGTGGGTGAAGACGTATCCATCGGGATTGAACACTGGAAAGATGTACCAGTCGTGTCTGTCTGCCAATTCTCTGATGATCGGATCCTGACTGGTCAGTAATTGATTGAGAATGTAAGTAACAGTGGCAGCTGTTATCCATTCGCGTGCATGAATATTTCCCTCAATAAATACACCAGGATTTCCAGGTTTGAATGAAACCTTCACACCCTTGATCTCACGTCCCTCATACGTTGTACCAGCAACAACCACTTCCACTTTGTCTGGATAAATCTTGGCTAGTGAATCCAACCAGGCGTTTATGTCCTCCAGCGTATGGTAACTCGTCCAGTCAAATTCCGTCGTCAATCTCTCCAGGTTTGGATTTTCAAGATCAATTAGTTGCTGAACATCGTCGATGTAGGGCACATACTTGGTTTCCGTGAAACTCATCAATCTTTCGAATTCGGGAATTTTGTGAGGAGCAACCATCAAATCTGCGGTTACATTCACACTGCCTGGACCATTCCAAAAAGAGTATTGCTGAAATTTTACCGATTTATCATTACATCAACTTCAAGGTACTGCTGGAAAATTACTCTTGTAATTTTATGTAGGAAAAAAGTTAATTTTTGAAACGACAAGGTAAAAATTCTGCGAAATCCTTCATTGCTGAATCAGTTAAATCTCGAATTGTCTTGAATTTCTTAGATAAAGGAGAAATTCAGTGCGAGTGTTCAATTGAAATTAAATTGAAACACTTATAATTGAAAATTTATATGACTTTATGATTCAGATTTCAATAAATTTTGAACCGTATATCAGAGAAGTCGTAAAATCATTCTGCAGTTTATACTCACTCCATCCGAAGTGTCGGCGATCTGGTGCAAGAGGGCAATCTGCTCAGCATTCGTGGGTAATATCCTGAAAACCTTGTGATTTTCGAAACTGACTTTCTGGGCTGTTGCCAGCCCGAGGATCCCCAGGAATACCACAAATTTCCACATGTTGCCACTGAAAATATCGTAATTCGATGAATTATTGATCTATTAAAAATATAAATTCCCACCCATGATTCAATAAATCTGGCTAATAATTCAGTGGCACGACTTACCTTCGTCACACTATGGTATACATGTGTTAAGTATTCCATGGAGCCTCGAGTATTTATTCACAATGCTACACTTGCCCACCACAATACCCATATCGGATCTACCCCACCTTCACCGCAACAATGGATCCCTATCTGGGAATTATCATCTTGGCGATTAATTACGAAAAAAATGTCCACGCAGTGGCCGATATGATGGATTAAACAGGTATTTCACCAAATCACGTCTATGATACGACGAGATTTTGTTATCGATTTGTGGCGGAAACCATCCAATTTATTGAGATAGTATCCATTGAATTATCGCGACGTTCGCCGTGATTGGGAAATATTTTAGTCGGTTTGATTTTATCTTGCTGTATTTGAAATACAGAATGTACTTCGCGGTTTAATGGAAGAAAACGCTCTTTTTATAGGACACTGCTGGATAATTTCTTGTCGAGCCAAATTGGTCTGACTTTCAATCACCAATACGTTTCCACAAGTCATCGTAAAAAAAAACCCCAAAATCTATTTTGTAATGTACGATAAATCCGATTTAATTGATTTATACGGAAATTATTGTGAATTGTTTTGAATATTTGTTTTACGAAATGATGCAATTTTTCAATTAAATTTAATTGATATTTCTGTTAATTAGAAATTTAAAAAGAAACATATAAATGCATATATATTATGAAATAGTCATAAAAATTAAATTATCCCACAGAAATTATGCGATAAATAAATAAAATGCAAGAGAATATTCTCAATAACTCTTCGATACGTCTAGCCAGTGAGGCCGATAATAATATTACCGTCGGCAATATTATTATTTATCAAAATTATCAATAAAGCTGACTGATTGCTGACAGCAATCTACGCGAGTGATAGGACATAATTGAATAATAATCTGATTAGCATGAGAATTCTAAAATAAAATGCTCAACGACACAATGGGTTATCGGAATTCGTATCCCTTGTACTCGAGATAACAAAAGGAGGAAGCAATTGAAAGTTACCACCTAGACGATGGGTTTTTCCAAGACCCCGATGGTTTACAATTTTATCGTAATGGCAATACGTGCCTACCGTGCGATCTGACTATTTCATTCACCGACGAAATAACGCAACCACCATCACCACAAAAGCCCAACAATGTCGGAATTATTTGTGTCAAGATCGAATATGTAAACTACTCTTGCAATCGTGAATTTCCAACAGAGCAAATAGACCTTAAACATAATCTATTCTCCTTTAAGAATCATTATGCCTCTCTCGTTCCATTCGAATGTCGTTCAAATTTCACAGTATAATCATGACAACCGGAAGGCAGATGAATGCAGTAAAAAAAACCTGTTCTTTCCAGAATGAAAAAAAAAACAATAATAATCTAACTCATGATTGATATTCTGTCTAAAACAAAAGTACGTTCTCTTCTAACTCTTCGATTGATGGAAAACAATAAAATTTGAAATTAGTCGACCGGATCAGACGTTTCGAGCTCTCTTTGCTTTCATAAACGACCAACAGATGACGTTACCGTTTCAAGAAGTGATCGATCCCTGATATAATCGGACAGAAACTCACCAGCTATCAGTAAAAAACCCTCTGAGGGTCACAATCCCCTGAATATCTTCTCACCCGACACCTCATTTAAATCGATAGAATCAAACATCTCCATTAGTCATAACTTTTTATAACTTTCTACGGAAAACCCCGGAAGCGATTTCCCCATCTCGAAATATCGAGCCACTGATTAGATTGGTTACATTTTTCGGATGAAAAATAGTTTTCTATTTTTCAATTGCCTGATGGAATCGATTGGCAGTTTTATTTCACATTCCCGTTTCAATTATTGTTGCATTTGCGTAATTACATGCGCCAATGACAATTAAGTAATCCTTGAGAAGGCGGTAATTGAAATGATCATTGAAACCCCCACAATCGAGTCCTTTCTATTAATTGAAAATTCTTGTTGACACCCCCGTTGCGAGAGACTGCTCCCATTTTGGGTGAACCTTCCAAGATCAATATCAAAGCTCTCAGTACTGTACTCTCTATCCTGTATACCTCAAGGCAACACCAACTCCACGACTAAAATACTATTGACCCAATTCACTGAATTTTTATTCGAAAGTTTTTCTACTGTTGAAAATCTACATTTTCCAACGCAACCACGCACTCAGCACTTAATTCTCATTTGATATTTAAATAAAATCAGAGATAAAAGAGAGGAATTTCCGATTTGTTGTATTGTATTGACTTATCAATTGGTATTTTTTTAAAGATTCGAGGAATTCCAGATTCGGTAATGAATTCGAGATTTACTAAGTCCTGGGCGAGGACTCGATATTTTATTGTACGACTTTGAAAAATTGGAAATGATGAACGTTTTGTGTAAATTATTTAATTGGCACTTTTGCGCACGGAGTGCAGTAAATGGAAAAATTTGAAATTTTGCATTGCGCCCTTTGACTGTTTATTGCAAAATGAATAATTGCGGTAAAATTGGCTCCACATCCTCACATTCTATCGATCCCCACAATACCATGTGTCCCCCACTCTCATAGCACATTATGGCGCACGTCGAGACCAACTGCTGAAATTTCTCCCTCAGCACAATCAGTGGTGTTTCACCGTTCGTTGTGATAGGAAGTGCAGGTAAATATATTTAATACCCCCGACTAAAAAAATTGACTGACAATTTTGTATAAATAATTATTGGCACTCAGTGAAATCCTTGAAGAACCGATTATACCGTTTTATTCATCATTTCCTTAAAAAAAAAACCAGAAGTCGGCCTGAGTTTTTTTTTATAAAAAATAAGTTGCACTTTGAATGACCTGGCTGTGATTTTTTCGTTGATGTGTACTTGTCAGCACACAACGAATTCAATTTTTATGTTTTTTTAATTAAAAATGAGTGAGGTATAGTGGTGGCCTGATAAAATCGAGGGAAAATTGAACTTTCAGGATTGAGGAGTTGAGAGGTCCTAGTGACACTGCGAATATATCAGAAAAATGGCGGACAGGATATACAACCCTAATCCCGAGCTTGCGAAAAAAGCCCACTGCAAGAGTATGCAGCAGTATAAGACAATGCATGAAAAGTGAGTTTTAGTATGATATAATTGATCATTGAAAAATTGTTAGTCATCGGGAGAGTGAAGAGACAGTCATAATGATGATAAAAAAATTGATCAGCTGATCGTTACGCGGATGTCATCTGCAGACTGGCATTATCATCAAGAGCAGTCATAATTGCAATTTTTTATCATTTACTTATTTCTTGTGTTTCTTGCTATAGAATCTAAAATTTAAATTCAATAACCGGGCTGTCCAATCAAAACTCGCAAAAATAGAATCATAATATCGATTCTTCCCACCCCCGAGTACCACGATGGGGAGGTAATTTCGTCAAGGCGAAGATAGGCATTGTCGACAGGGAGAGAATAAAAAAAAAGAGTTTTCTCAAGTGTTCGGGTAATAATGAGAATGGCAAATATATGATCCGTCACGTTCAGCTTCAGTATGAGCTCATTTTTAAAAGAAAAATATTTAAAACTTGAGGTTTTGATGAATCATTGCACTCGTAGAGGAGAAAGTATGGGACAAGCTCCTCTGGCTCATGATTTTAATGATTCATGTCAACACGCGCATAAAATTAAATTTAATACGCGCATTTAATGATTAAATTTCTACCTTTTTAGATCTATTGAATATCCCGAAGCATTTTGGGGGGAAATTGCTAAGGAATTTTACTGGGAGACAGCAACGTCCAATGACAAGTTTTTCTCTTACAACTTTGACCTCAACCAGGGCGATATTTACATTAAATGGATGGAAGGTGCTACCACAAATTTAAGCTTCAACTTGCTGGACAAGAATGTTAAATGTGGAAATGGTGAAAAAATTGCTTTTTACTGGTGAGAATATGATTTAAATACCGTATGACGTATTTACATTAACGTCACGATAGACTGAATAATAATGTTTACGTCAATCCTGTCACTCCTGAATTAATATTACGGATATTATGTCTCGATCACTTCTAACGATATCGGCATTCTCGTAAGGTAATTACGTATGTATTTAAACATTTACCCACCGTAATTATTCTCACGAAATATTACGATAACATTAATAAAATATCTATCCTTTCGAAGATGACAATTCGACGAATCATGCATCGGAATCATTCTAAAATTATCAAATCCCACCGTGAATTTTGAATCATTACCGCGAATGGGAATCGATGAACTTTTGGCGCGAATATATATACGATTATATTAGCATCATTGGGATGCAAAGTACGGGCTGACCGAAGTGTACTCGCAAGTCACTCGTGCACTTGTTTATGTAAAACAGAGAAGGGGCAAACGAAAATTTACGAAAAAACCTGACAACAGTGGAGGAAAAAATTTATCATGTGAAATTCCTCCGCTCCAGACTGAAGAATTCGAATTTGAACCGGTATAGAATCGTTCGAGCTCATCCGATCCAGCTCTCACTGCTGATTCGTCACAATATGACGCGCGTTCTCAAACATTTTGTGATTGGTTAATGTGCCCATTATATCAGCAGAGAAGAGCGTTCACTCGAAAGTTAACTGATGCAACCCATTACCAAAAAAAATCACACAAACCCGTACCATGTCTTATCGCAATCATCGGATTTTTAGCATCTCTCGCGATCCGGAACTATAAAAAACCAATCGAACATGATTTGCGTAGAGTTCAAGCTAATTTTCGCGCGAGAAGCTAGAAATTATCAGAATTTCAACAGAAATTTTTATCCGTATCACGTGGGAATTAATCAGGCAAAATTACATGATAAGTTGGATGAATTCCAACAACCGTAGAAATATAGATGATTGAATGTGGGAAATATGTATAACCTTGACCCACAGCACATCGACATAACGCATCAGTAAATTCGCCTGTCCTGATCTGGAATCATCACTTGCGTTTTTTTCCTTTTATAAATTTTCTGTATTAATGCCCATTCGATTTAAAGATACTGTTATCGTATAAATGAGGGGTATGTCAATCGGTATCGATTGATATTGGTACTGCATATTTACAAAGGACACGTGCAAACGAATTAGCCAGCAAAAAAAGAAATGAATTATCGCGGGTAGGAAAAATATTGTCAACCGTGCAACGAATTTCTCACAATGCACCTTGAAGTCTCAAAAGTTGTTTATCCATGACAAAAGTTATGAAAATGCGCGATTACCGATCAACAGAATTGTTCATGGAAAAACGCGCGTGGCACGTGAATGCCCAGAGGTAACTTGACATTTGACACCAGTGAGTACACGCGTCAGTAAAATACAATGACAATGAAACGTTATTCCGTTATCGTAAAACGTTATCAGGCTTATATAAAAATTTTAACTAACCGGGGAAAGAAATAAATAAATAGGCGCGTCGAATGTAGAGGGCAAATGACTCATTAATATTTTGACCGATTCGACAGGGAGGGCAATGACCCTGATGACTACTCGAAATTGACGTACAAGAAGCTTTTGCAGGAGACGTGTATGTTCGCTAATGTATTGAAATCGAAGGGCGTCCAGAAAGGAGATCGTGTGGCAATTTACATGCCCATGATCCTTGAATTACCGATTGCAATGCTTGCCTGTACGAGAATCGGCGCTGTTCACAGTGTAGTTGTGAGTATTTTTCTATTACAAAAGTAAAAAACTGACTGTCCATTATAGTTCTCTGTCAACGGATAAACACTACTGATAACAACTAGCCAAAATGCTAATGCAGATGCAAAATTTGAGCATTTCAATTTTTCGGCAGATAATTAATTTTGCAAATGATCCAGATTACTATATACCGTATACATGACATTAAATTAATGCCAGTAATTAAAAAATCATTCTTTCCAGTTCGGTGGATACTCATCAGACTCATTAGCCGAACGGATAATGGATTGTAAAGCTAAAGTGCTGATAACAGCGGACGGTGTTTTCCGGGGGGAGAAGCTTCTACTGTTAAAAAACATTTGTGACGATGCATTAACCAAGGTGAAGGCTCATGGACACGAGGTGGAGTGTTGTGTGGTGGTTGGCCACTTGAGGAGACTGGCTAATCCACATGGAAAAATAACTGGGGGTGAGAATGCAACTTTTCGCTTACGAAACGAGTCTCGATTTACGGTACGTAAATCGGTGATCGGTGGTTGTGATGAATTTGGCCATTCAAAGTAGATGGACATTTGAATTACAGAGACTAAAAATGGAGTGAATGGTACGAGCAATGGAGGATCGAGTGAGCCAAATGTCTCATGGGATGATGACAGAGATTGTTGGTGGCACGAGGAAATGGAGGAGGCAGAGCCAAGCTGCTATCCAGTCTGGGTAGCTGCTGAAGATCCACTCTTCATTCTCTACACGAGGTGAATAGATACTTCCTAATTTTATCAATTTATTCAATCCTCCAACTATTGAATTAACTCGTCTCAGTGGATCCACGGGGAAACCCAAGGGAGTTTTGCACACAACTGCTGGTTACCTAATCTACGCGGCGACAACCTTCAAATATGTTTTCGATTACAAGCCTGGTGATGTCTACTGGTGTACGGCAGATATCGGCTGGATCACAGGTCATACTTATGTGGTCTATGGACCCCTGGCCAATGGTGCAACCTCTGTCATTGTGAGAATAATCTCAACTATCAGAAAGTTTGAAAGGTGGCTTTTTACGGGGAATAAAAAATATCCTTGGTGTTATTCTAGTTCGAGGGCACACCCTTCTATCCACACAATGACAGATACTGGTCTGTTATCGACAAGTATAAAGTCAACCAGTTTTACACCGCTCCAACAGCCATCAGGAGTTTGATGAAATTCGGAGATGAGCTCGTGAAAAAACATGACTTGAGTACCTTGAAGGTCAGCAATCAATCAGATAAACAAAAACCCAATGACTTGCGAACCCATTAATTTTGCATATTGCTAACTCCATCCCAATGCAATAAGAATTTAATTATAATGGTCACATGCGAATAGAATAATGTCAGCCTTGAATGTCGATTGCCTTCTCGCGATAAAACATCGAGTCTCCCAGTTGATTTACGCAATACTCATATTAGAAAGAAACGGAACTATCAATTACGTGGATTATTGATTGTATTCAGGTCCTTGGATCAGTGGGTGAGCCCATAAATTCCGAGGCATGGTTATGGTTTTACAATCACGTGGGCCATGGTAAATGCAGCATAGCCGACACATTCTGGCAAACTGAGACTGGAGGACACGTCATCACTCCATTGCCAGGAGCAACACCCATGAAACCAGGCTCAGCAGTGAGTGCAATTATCAATTGTAATCAATCCACAAATTAATGAATTCACGAATAAGTTATGAATTTCCACATTGCTCGGAATGTCCAGACATTCCCATTCTTCGGAGTGCTTCCAGAGCTTCTGGATGAGGATGGCAGGGTGATTGAGGGAGAGGGTGAGGGCTATCTGGTCTTTAGGAGACCCTGGCCCGGAATGATGAGGTCGCTCTACGGTAACCATGACCGCTTCCAGACTACATACTTCGACAGATTTCACGGTTTTTACTGCACTGGAGATGGTGAGATTAATAAATTTCCTATTACTTCTTCTTCTTGTCCTTGCCTTTCTTCTCTTTCCCTTCTTTCTTGCTCTCCGCAAGCTGGAGAGGATTTCGAAACATTTCCCCAGCGTAAACCGAGTCTTTTCCGAGCTCCTCCTCGATCCTCAATATTTGATTGTACTTGGAGACTCGTTCGCCCCGACAAGGGGCTCCGCCCTTGAATTGCCCTGCAGCCAGTCCTACAGCAAAATCGGCTATGAAGTTGTCCTCAGTTTCTCCAAAAGAAGTGGACACTGCACTGGACCATCCACCTGCCCTCGCCATTTTGTGGCAGTCAATGGCCTCAGTTATCGTACCAATTTGCGAAAGTCTAATGACAATGCCATTTCCACTCTGTTTCTCCATGGCCTCCTCAATTCTTTCTGCATTCATCGCAGTGAGATCGTCAGCTAGCAGTTGAATTGGCTGATCTGCCAGCATTCCCCATCCATCCCAGTCTTCCTGATCAAATGGATCCTCCAGAGAAACAATCTGAGGAAACTCTCGCAAGAGATCCAGGTACTGATCCTTCAAGGCTTCTGTGTCCATGTAGTCATCCGGATCTGATTCATCGGTTTTAAATGCCAGATCGTACTGACCATCCTTGCAGAAAGAACTCGCGGCCATGTCCACTCCCACCTTCACCTTGCCCTCGTAACCCAATCCCTTTATCGCATCGACTATCGCGGCTAAAGCCTCTCGATCCTCCTCAAACTCCGGTGAAAATGCCCCCTCATCACTGATCGTCAGGGGAAGTTTTAACTCCTGCGATTCAGCGATGAGTTTTTCAAGAGCTCGATACACGTCGTAACCAATTTTCATAGCTTCAGCGAAGGACGTGGCACCTCGATAGATAAAAATAACGTTGATTTGTATTCATTAACTGAAGGTTTAGCATCAATTATTCGTTTTTGATAAAAACCTGTGGGCATGAGGACGAATTCCTGACAAGGCAAAGGATTTCCAGACAATTTCCCACCACTTATTACTGTAAAAACTGGCACGGGAATGATGAGCTGTTTGCTATCAGCAAGTTGGGATATGTATTTGTAGAGAGGTAAACCCTTCTTGACAGCACCTGCCTTGCAGCAGGCCATTGACACCCCAAGAATTGCATTGGCACCGAGTTTTGATTTGTCACTTGTACCGTCCAATCTGATCATCAATGAATCTATATCCCTCTGTTGACATACCTCTAAGCGACTCTTCACGATTTCCGGTCCGATTATTTTATTTACATTATTCACGGCTTTGAGAACTGATCTGCCATTAAAACTCGATTCATCATTATCACGGAGTTCCACAGCTTCATTGGGAATGGGTGAGTGGGTGCAGGACACCGAGGACCTTAAGAGCCCTATTTCGGTGATCACATCTACCTCGAGAGTGGGCTCACCTCTACTATTGAATATCTGACGGGCTTTTATCTTCTCAATGGGCATTTTGTTATTTATCGATTGGAAATGAGGGGATGAGAAGTCCGTGGGATTTGGAGAGATGTTCTAAATGGGGGTTATTAAAAATAGTTGAAGGTTTGCAATTGATTATCTGTGTTCCATAGGTGCTAGGCGTGATGCTGATGGATATCTTTGGGTCACTGGGCGCATCGATGATATGTTAAATGTCTCGGGGCATTTAATGTCAACTGCTGAAGTGGAGAGTGTACTGACGGAGCACTCGGATGTAGCTGAGGCTGCTGTTGTCAGCAAACCTCATCCAGTCAAGGGACAGTGTCTTTACTGTTTCGTTACGCCGAATGAAGGAAGGATATTTAGCAAACAATTGTCGGACGAGCTCAAGAGAAAAGGTCAATTTTAAAACATTGGATGACATAGCATTATGTCAATGTATGTAATTTCCTTTTTTTCTGTACAGTGAGAGAAAAAATTGGACCTTTTGCCCAACCAGATGTGATACAACATGCTCCAGGCTTGCCAAAGACTCGCTCAGGGAAAATAATGAGACGTATACTCAGAAAAATAGCAATTGGCGACAAAAACGTAGGGGATGTTTCTACCCTCGCTGACGAGGCAGTTGTCGATGTACTTTTCCAACTGAGGCCTTAGGCCCAAGTACACCATTAAATTGAAACTAAAGACGAAAGAATATGCACTAACAAACAACGATTATTGTTTAGCGAATGCCATTTTTTTCAGATATTTTTTTTAAAAGGTAAAACCTTGGAGAATTGCGCGAAAAAGTGCTTGAAGGCTTGTCGACTCGAGTATTCATTGCAGAGAGTGCTAAAACCCGGAATACTGCTGATTTGCATGGAGATATAATCTTAACAGATGAGTTTAAAGAGATGAAAAATCAATTATTAATGGAAAACGTTGAAAGTCCATAGACTTTAAATAATTATAGATATTTCAATGTTGAATGACATTTGAATATTAAGTGCCGTTGACGGGAAATGCTACAAGAGATGTCTAGATAAAATGTTATCCAGTAAGAAAATTTACCAGAAGAAACTAAAAATGATTTGTTGAAACAAACCAATGAAAGTTTATCACTACCAGTAACCAAACAGAAAACGCACTTGCACTAATGCACATGTGATTTACCGAGAGAATTAATTTTAAAAAGCAATTCACTAAAAATATGATAGAGAGAGCTCTATATTATACACAAAAAGTCGATAAACGAGGATAATGCAAATTATGATTAAATCACGTCGACCTCGTCCATGAGTCGACGTCGCATACATATCATTCCCTGCGGAACAAAACTACTTCTAGGTGTGATAATTATTCTAAGTGATCATAGATTATACACATGTGCGATTATGTGTTAATAAATATGTGGAGAACACGTTGTACAAGGTATATGTATATATACAAACGTTAAGATTCAATTATGTTGAACGTAAAAATCATTGTCTTCATTTTAAATCCGAATGGCGTGAAATCCCCTCAGCCCTTTTATGCATATTGTGTTTAAGTTGTATTGAGTTCCACTACTTGGAATTGTTATCAAAAATATAACTCACCTACAGCTGCCCGCTTCTCATGCCTAATCCCATGACTCGAATGAAATACCCATCAGCACTCACAATTTTTACACAGAGTCACTTCACAATTTTTACACAAAGTCACTTCACAATTTTTGCACAAATTCACTTCACAATTTTTACACAAATTCACTTCACAATTTTCAAGATAAAACATCGAACAGCCAATGATCACTTCCTCGAATTCTGCACGACTTCGGTAATCACAACTTTTTCACCATTTTTTTTACACTTTTAAACAATCTTTATGTAATTTCCGACATTCCACAGAAACATGACTTGTTAATTGATTCTTTCAAAGGTACACACTTCTTCTTTATTCTCCACTTCACAATTATTGAGTGATTCTATTGTTTAATCTGAGTCATCTACTTGAGATTGGACGCCAACGTTTCGTCTCATTCTCAAAATCACTTCCCGTCACTGAAATACCACATCGAAATCGATGAATAAATGGGATTTTCTCCAATTGGCTTCCCCGTTAAGTCCTCCGGATGTTTTTTAGAACACGATGCTATTTTATAACCGAATGCCATTGTTTCTTGGCTCCAAAATTATCCCGTACTTCAATTGTTTACGTGAACTCCCGGCGTCTAACGGAAACACAACATCGTATTACAGTTGCGCAGCGCTCCCTACCACCGGAAACTGCTTCAAAAAATGCGCGCGGGGATTCTAAAAAGGAGGGAAGGGGTGTTTTGCAGCTGAAGGCCATTGTGGCCAGCTGATAGCTTCCAGTCGTCACCGAGACAGACGACGAGTCAAATCCTCCCACAACAACGGGAATTATCAACGCCATTACCTCTTCACCGATAAATCATTAGAGATGAGTCTCGACGAGTACTACGATGTTGCTCTTGACCTCGTGAAGCAAGCCGGAGCTGTAAGTGCTTTTTTTTCAAATAATTTGTACTGACAACAAATCACATCATTACGCAATTACGCAGAGGTTATCCTGGCTTCCACCCGGAATAATGCCCAATGTGCGCACGTGACGTATCGATTTGTGACAATATGTTGCTTGAGAGTGATAGAAACTGGGTCGTTTGATGACCGCGAAAATTGCAATTCCGTGGATTTGAGGGGAAGCCATAAATCGAGTCAATTACGAATTTTGTTTTTTGAAGATTATTGAATATTTTTGATCCTCAGATTATTCGAGAGAAAATTGACAGGCCAAAAGATATAGCAATGAAGTCTTGCGATGTTGATCTCGTTACCGAATCAGATAAACAAGTTGAGAAGCTATTCATAGGAGGGATTTCCTCTCGATACCCTGATCACAGGTATTGCAATACAAGAATTAAAAATGTGGAACATAAAATATGAATGTGTCAAAATTTTCCACGTCCTTGTCCCCTAAGCAATCAATCCTAATTCACGGATAACGATAGATTCATTGGCGAAGAGACAACAGCTTCTGGCTTGAAGGCACAATTAACAGATGCTCCAACGTGGATAATCGATCCTATTGATGGTACAATGAATTTCGTCCATGGGCTTCCACATACTTGCATATCAGTCGCTTTACTTGTTGACAAAGTTACGGAAATGGGGTTTGTCTATAATCCAATTATCGAGCAGTTGTTCATTGCCAGAAGAGGACAGGGAGCGTCTTTGAATGGAAAGCCGATTAAAGTGTCCGGAGAAAAAGGTTCCAGTCATACGAAATCAATATTTCTCGGCTCTAATGACAATGTTACCCAATTTTCAACTGGAAAAATCTATTTCTAGAATTGAAAAAAGCCCTTCTAATGACAGAAATGGGAACTAGCAGAAATCCAGAGAAAATTAAGACAGTTATGGACAATCTGCAAATTCTGGTGCCAAAAGTTCACGGGTAAAACACCTACGATTATAAAATAATTGTCGATTTCATATTTCGTCTGTGAATTCAGACGGCAAATATATCTGATGGAATTGTTTTCAGGGTGAGAACTCTCGGATCAGCAGCTCTGAACATGTGCATGGTGGCAATGGGAGGAGCTGACGTGAATTTCGAATTTGGTGTTCACGTGTGGGACTTTGCAGCTGGGGACATAATTGTCCGGGAGGCTGGAGGGGTGGTAATTGATCCAGCAGGTGGATCCCTCGATCTCATGAGCGGCAGAGTCCTTTGCGCCTCTTCCATGGAGCTCGCTAATGAAATAGTAAAGCAACTCGTGCAGTATTACCCCGAAAGAGATTAAAAGATAACAATTTCGTTAGCTACTGTGCCATTTTTCCAATTGTTGTGAGATTGAAGGATTTTCATCCCTCGAAATACTTAAAATCTTAAAAGAGACTTATTTTCATCCGATGTACTTATCCAACTGAAACTATATTACTATAAAATTATATTCTGTGTTCAATAAACATTGGTAGCAATGAAAATTTGCTCAGCAAGTGATCAATCATAGTATTTATTGCTCAACGAAAAAAATAATCCAGAAACAATTGACAGGTACACGCTCACGCAATCGTATCCTCTTCTCATTTGACATTATTTATCCACCTGAAAACTCAAAATTCCGTCAGTTAACTCACGCACCCACTGCGAGGTGAATTCTGCAAGTCACAATTTACACAAGTTCCTGATAAGTGATTAAATATTTCCACTCATTTCCCTTATCAAACAACTTCGCATTACCCTTATCTCAAGTGACTCACAGACAACACCCGACAGCCTCTCTGAAGAAAAAAAAATGCACCTCAAATCCTCGTAATTACTGCATGTATACCGTACCTGTCAACCAAACATACTTACGCACTCCCTAAAAAACACAAGTTCCGACAAACCTACTAGTCTTGAAGGAGAGATGACGAGCAAAAGCCCTAGGGTTTTCCATAGCTGTCGCGTGGCTGTCATATCACCCCTCAAATCCTGAACGCCTTGCCTCCCCTCCTCACAAGGAGGGCTACAAGTGAAAACATTACCAAACAGCCAATTAGATAATCAACTCAATGAATCTGCCATTCATGTGCAATTCTTATCTCTCAAAACAAAAAAAAAACTTCATGAAAAATGAATCACTACGGTTCGATAATCAAGCGATTTTTTTTTTCTCAATCAATGAAAACTCTGAAGGTCCTTTTCTCAAATAGCAATGAAACCCAATCCGCATTTTCACGACCCCTCGTTAATTATCCTCTCGATCAATAATTCATGAATTAATGAAACTCGGATAATTCGGATATACTAGAATATCCCATAAGGCAGTTCCCCATGAATACCTTGCAGCGGGAAACAGCGCTATTATTTGGCCCTTGCTAGTCCGCCTGCACATAACGTTGATTCGTTATAGTAGATGACATCTGAAACATAAGCAGCCACGTACAATCTTGCTTTGATACTGAACCCTATTATCATACCGGGAACTACATGAATCCAAATAGTTTACATTATTTCCATAAATTATTTCTCATGTATTTTTTGTATTCTTTCATACACGTTGTTGTTAATACGACGGGACCTCTTTATCTCCTCCAAATTTCTTGATAATCAATCATCCAAGCCTTTTATTTCAACTACAAGCCTAATTACTATACAATTTTCATCGTCCTCTTCAGATGTTAGTACACCAATTTCTTCTTTCTATCGATTTTTCATTTAATTTTCTAGTGTAGTTTTGCGTCCGCATGCTGTGTGGTTTTTATGTGATAAAATGAGTCATGTAGTTTTTCATATCCTCTATTTTCCTCGTAAGATTGTGTAAACGCGTGGGTATTCAGTGTCATAAATTTTTTTTTATGTTCTCCTATGAACGTAGCAATCAACAATTCGGCAACACTGGTAATCGTCTCCCAAAATAATTGAACGAAAAATTGAATGAACCGCCGTGCGACATGACGTACGGTGGTATAAATTATAAGAAACCAAAAATCCATTGAACAATATTTACCATTACTGTGAAAATTCGCGATCTCTGGTGATAATAGATATAAAGAGAAAACATTTACTTTTATATGCATATATATCTCATATATTCTAGTAGCTATATCCATGATTATGCTCAATTGATTTATTTTCACCCCAAATTCATTAATTAATTTTAGAGTAGAGTGAATTCCCACAGCAAAAGAAAACGGGATTCAATTCAATTTGCAATTCAATTGATAACTAAAATAATTATTTAAAATACGAATCATCTCAAGCACTCCAGTAAATTAATCTTTCCCCCCCCCAAAAAAAATTATCGACTTGTCTTGCGTGAAATGTTCAGCTCAATTTGAAGATAAAAAACTCAACATTAAAAATGTTTCGAAATTCAACATTAAAGAATTACGTTATTAATCCCACTGAGATAACTCTCCGTGCGCGATGAATTCCTCGGGCACTAGGGGTTACCTAGATTTTTTCTTGTATAAATGGATGGGCCAGTGCATGGTTGACTGTTATTCTCTTGCCAGCGTCCAGCATTAAGGTGCGCTCCAAGAGATCCTTCAGCTGACCAACTTTACGATTTTGCTCGGCTGGCAGTGAATTGCCTCCGAGCTCGGTCCCAAGATCACGACTCGCTGGAAGAGTCGACATCACCACCACTTTTTCCTTCAATTGAACAGAAAGAGTAACAAATTCATTAAGGTTGACATTGCCTTTTGCACCAATGGACGAGCGGACTTACCACTAAAAATTCGCTGAGTTGGTGGTTTTCATATTTTTAATAATAATATTGAAAAGCGCAACTTACCCGCTCGGTGACCTTATCGACTTCGTGATAAAGGAAATTGCAGTTTGAATCGAAATGCTGCTCCTTGAATGTTCCCTTTCTTATTAATTTGTTCGGCATTTTTCCTTTGAGATCCATGAAAAATTTCAACATTTGATTGTTTGTCTTGCCTGAGAACATGATTTTTCCGGTGTAGAGCTCGTAGATGGTGCAGCCCACAGACCACATGTCAATTCCGAAATCATAAGGGATACCAAGAACTAGAACAATTCAAATATTATCATTTGCTCTAACTCAATGGATTATCCTACACGAAACAAATAAAAACAGAAGTCGTGAAATATTCATAAATCAAAATAATTTCATCACATGATGCATTTATTTTACGAATAATTAAAAATGAGTGGGTACATACTGATCTCTGGAGCGCGGTAGAACCTGGAGACAAGATATGGCGTGACCTCATTCTCGTGTGCATGAGAGGCCGATCCAAAATCGCAAAGCTTCAGCACGAGCTTCGTCTCGCTGACTAGAATATTATCGGGTTTAATATCACCATGAAGAATATTAGCACGTTTCAGCAGTTTCAATGCCAAAAACAGTTGTTGAGTGTACGAACGTACAGCTTTCACGTGCAGCCCAACATCCTTTCCGTATTTCTTCAGGACCTGTGAATACATTAGAAAATAAAATAAAATAAAAAATTCACTACGAAAATGACGCGACGATTCAATTCAATCCTTGAAAAAAAATATAATTATCTAATTGGCGTACCTCTCTCAAATTCATTGCCAGTGGTTCAAACACCATGCACAAGTGGTTTTTGTGGAAAAAGTGCCTGAATAAACGCAAACAATGGAATCGATCCTCTGGGTCAGCGTCGTTGAGCTTCCTGAGGACTTCCAATTCCTTCAGTCCAGTCCGATGCCTGTAAACCCAGAAAAAAATGAAAAATAAATCACCAAATAAATTCCCACAAACTTCTTTGTTTCAATAATTGAAAATCCAGTGGTTGCATAATTTTCTTTATCAAATTCAAATCACTACTCCCGAAATTGGAGATAAAATCCATTTAAATTCAATTTTTTAACAATTTTTCGTACTAATGAATAAAAAAATGCATGCAACTACCACTGGATGATTCACGCTATTGATTCGAAAGGTCCACTTACATGATTTCGTTGTTTCTAATAATTTTCACAGCAACATCCATATTCCCCCTGGCAGTGTCTCTAGCCCTGACAACATTACTAAACACACCCTGTCCAGTATACCCATAAACCACATACCGCGAGTCAAGTGTCTCCCCAACCCTAACTCTATAATAGCCCTCAGCATCATCCCAGTTATCAGTTAAGCTCGGATTATCGGGTCCCCCAGGTCTCTTCCCCTCAACCGTGGGGCTATTAAAATCGGTGATGTTATCAGCCTCAGCGAACATGTCCCACTCATTAGCCTTCTTGGAGATGGTTTTCTCATCCTTGCCATTATTCTTCTCCTTCTCCTCGAATGTTTCCTTATTCTCCTTGTCCTCAGGTGGATCATCGAATCTGGACTTTCGTCTCTTGATAGACTGCGGTGATTTCTCCCTGGGCAAAGGAGGTGTGTGACTCTCAGAGGTTGACTCGTTGTTATTCATCACCACTTCCACAGATTTTGGGGATGAATTCGACTGGACAGTGCGAGGAGACGCGGCAGTGATGCTCATATCAGCGGAAAGATTTGAATCCTCTGCTGGACCTCCCAGTCGCTTCAACAATTCCTCCCTCTGTTTTCTCCTGCGCTCGATGATTGCCTCCTCGTCCTCCTCCTCCTCGATATCAATATCTTTGATCTCCTCTTCACTGGAGCTTTCCGATTTGTCGATCTTCAGTCCCTCTGACAAAGAATCTTTGTATTTATCATTCCTCTCGCGTTTTCCATTCTTCTCTCTGTCCCTGTCATCTCTCCCATGTCGATTATCTCTTCGACCTCGAGAGTTCGATCGAGACCTTCTCCATCTTTCGTTTCTTTCCCGATCGCCCCTGTGACGTGGCGAACGCGATCTTCGAGCGCTTCTGGAGCGCTCACGAGGTCTATCGTAATTCCTGCTGTCTCGACGATCTCGACTGTTCTCTCTGTCTCTGTTCGATCCATGACGATCACGAGAGATCAATCCATCTCTGCTACTGTGCAGGTCTCTTCCATCAATTTTATCTCGACTGCTGTGACGATCACGAGAGCTTCTGTCTTTGCTTCTTCGTTCTCGATCCTTACTGAATCTCCGGTCATTCCTTGTCTCTCTAGATTTCAACGAGTGATCAGCCTCACGTTTACGATCATCCATGTGCTCGTGATCTCGCTTCCTCGGGGAATCTCGTCTCGAGTCTTTTCGCTTTTCTTCGTCAATTTTCTTACGAAGCTCGTCCTTCCTGGTATCCTCTTTTGATTTTTCTCTGTCAAGTTGTTTCCGATTGGATTTCTCAGGCTTCTTATCGTCCCTTTTGACGTCTTCCTTAGGGCGAACCTTTTCCTCCCGTCTTTTCTCTAATTTCTTATCCTTGGAGTCCTCCTTCAGTTTCTTATTGTCACGCGTCATATCGATCACAACTCGGCGCTCGATCTTATTTATCTTCTTGCGCTCTCGGCTCCCAGATCTGCTCCTGTAACGTTTCTTCCTAGGGGACACATCGTCGGCGCTGTCGTCCTCGACTACTATGACATCTGGAGTGTCGGGTTTTAGGGCGTCCTCGGGCTCTGGCTCCTTTTCAGTCTTGTCCGACTCGTCTGAGAGGTATTGCACTAGACGGGCTTGCAGCCGCTCTTTCTGCTTCATCAGCTCCTCTAGGTCGATGTCATCCTCGATTATCGTGCAGTCGACCTCATCAGAGTCCAGGTCGACGAGTTTCTCGTCTTCGCTCTCGGTGGATGGAATTTCCATGACGTGATCGAGTTTACCATTAACTCTGGGCACGTCTTTCGTAACATGACGAATTTTCTCTTCAGAGGTTCCATTTTCTGGCTCACGCTCTTTTCGAGGCTTCTTGTGTTTTTTATGTTTTTTCCTCTCCTGGCGCTCTGATTTGACTTCATCTCTCTCCCTATCTCCAATTTTATCCTTTTTATGTTTATGGTGTTTGTGTTTTCTCTTCTTCTTTTTCCTCTGCTCCGCAATGTCAGAGTCATCATCGAAGCTTTGTACATCGCGCTTTGAGTCAAGATACTCCAAATCAGAGGAACTAGAACAAATTGGTATTAATTAGAGGTTATTGTGAAGTGGAATCCCAACGCGATGAAGTATTGATTTTCACATGTTTGACTGGATATTTCAGTAACGTTCATTTATCTTAAATTAAGGGGACTATTTTAATGAAGTAAATATAAAGTTTTCTCCATGATGATCCAGACAATTTGTCCGAGAATTTCTATGTTGCCATAGTATTTATAAACATGACAAACGCCACCGATTACGAATGTAAACTATCAATTCCTCAATAGAAAGCAATGCGTTGAAGCGAAGATATTTCTGAAGGATCACTTACCCCATTGCTAGCTGTAATAAATTAATTATCGAGTTTATTATAAATTGTCAATGATCACACAAGTACGACAGACGTTCACGTTAACTCGGCGGTTCATCAATTCATCGCCATCTTGTTACATGTCGTATCTTTTAGTGCAACCCACCACCAGTGTTGCCAGTTGGTATTCGTTATTATGGCATCTACAAAAAAAAATAAATTTGAATATCAATTTTGCTGACTCGTTCACTTTTTTATCAGATGTATTCAAATTTTTTAGTAATCATTGGTTTGAGTCATAAATTTATAAGCTCATACTCCAGTTTACTCCAGTTTTTTTATTATTTTATTATTATCGCCAGAGCTGTCAGTCTGCGAAAATTATTTTATTCTCTAAGCATAGCTGTCCTTTGAGCTCCTCTCGGAAATATTTTGACGGTGTATAGTGAATTAATGGTAAAATACGAGGAATTGTTTAGAAATTCGTTTGTATATGACATATTTTCTGTAGTAAAAAAAGCATGGACTGGAAAATGTAAAAATGTAAAATATTTTAGTCAATCCGCTTTGGGTGAGCCGACGGATGCGTTCTAAAAACTTGTTGTAATTCCCACGTCTCCGCCGGATGGCACCGTCATCTGCTCCACGAACAAGTCACAACTTCCGCTGGAAAAACGGAGAAAACGTATCCAATACCCACCCAGAAAATCATGTCATAACCTCGGTGCAAATATCTCCTGTCACTTTCGACCATATTTTTCCAATTAAAAATGTGAATTAATGTCCCTCACTAGACAGAGTGAGGACGCTTGTGCTACGATTAATGTACCAATTAAATCAACAAAATGAATAAATCCGAGAAGCTTCTGGCTGCTAGGAGAAAGCTGAAAGAGTTTCAGCAGCACAAACTGAATAATAACCACTACAACCAAGAGGGGAGTCAACTTCAACAAGAAAACACGCAGGTAAACTTGCCTGCTGTACCTCCAGCGATTCAGGACCACCCGATGGAGGATTTGAATGAGTCACAAACGTCTCATCCAAAGAATATCTCCCACACCGGACCACCAACCTCTCAATCCCCTTCCCCTGCTCCAGAACCTTCCAGCAACCTGAGGAACGAGTCTCCATCTCAGTTTGTCCCTCCGCAGATTTCAGAATCGCCAATTCCCTCAAATCTAAACCCCCAGGACCATGAAGAATCAGATCCACCCTCTAACACCCCTATCCTGCAAAACGGATCCCTTCAGCTGGAGCTGAACCCCAAGTATTCCCCAGAGGACTCTCCATCCCTCCAGAAGCAGCATCTTCTGCAGATGGCGTCGCAAGTAGCAGATGCCCTGGTGGACGCTGAAAACGAAGGGTCGTCGATGCCTATCTCCTCGGACCTGGAGTATCAAACTCAATTTCTCACGACGTGCCTCGACGAGCAAAAACGCCTCGTGAATCAACTGCACATCCAAGTGAGTCAATACAGCTCTCGAGTATCTGAACTAGAGGCACTGCTCTCCACGAAGGAAGCTGAGTACGAGTCCAAGCTTCTCCGAGAACTGAACCCCCTGAAAGAGCAATTGAAAGTGCACGCACAGACGACGGGAATTCTCGTAGCAGAGAAGGCAGAATTGTCCTCAGCGATCAGCCAATATCAATCGATATCTCAACAAAAATCGACAGAGGTGGAGGACCTCTGCTTGAAGCTGAAAGCTTCGAACTCGAAAAATGCGGAGCTAGAACGAGAATTATCTCATTTGAAAAACGCAACAGAAGAGATGAGAAAAAACTACCATCAGTTGCAATCAGATTACTCTCATCTCGACAAGAAGTTCTCAGAACTGAAGAAAGATAAGGAGGAGCAGCAGCTGGAGACAGCTGAGCTTCGACAGGACCTGAATCTGAAGAATACGGAACTGTCGAACCTTCATCGAGAGCTGAACGACAAGAAAAATCTGTTGTCATTATCTGAGCTCAAGATCCAACAACTGGGAAATCCTCAGGAGATGCAGACGTTGGAGGGTCATCACCAGGTACAGTCGATCCTCGAACAGCAGCTGTCTCAACTCCGAGAGACTCTGAAGTCCGTCAATGCTGAAAAGGAAGAGACCAGCAAATACTACGAGAATTATGTCAAACAGCTCGACAGCAGATATGAAACAGTGGTCCAGGAGCTGGAAACTGCGAAAACTAGAATTGGTGATTACGAGCAGCGAGAGGAGAGTTTCGTCCAGAGGCTCTCGGTAATGGAGCAGCAGTATCAGAGGGAGAAGCAGAGAGTGGAAACTCTTCTTCCTCTCGAGGCTCACGAGGAGAAGATCAGCCATCTCACGAAAAGCATGGATGCCCTCGTGGTGGAGCACGAAGGGCTGCAGTCGACGATTCGTGAGAGAGAGGCTGAGATCGAGGCCATGAAGGAAGAGCTGCATCATCTGCGAGAGCTCAAGGAGCAGAATGTCGAGTCCCTGAAATTGGTTACTGCCTTGGAAAGTGAGCAGTTGGGGGCCTCCAGAGCCGTCTCCCAGAATCAGGAGCTCAAGGCACAGTTGAACGAGATGCACGATGCCTTCGTCATGCTGAGTAATTCCAAGCTAGATCTGACGGAGCAGCTCCAGGGCGAGCGCACCATTGGGAGAAAACTAAATGCAGAGTTAAATAAGATTGAGGATGAGAGGGATGAGTTAAAGGAGGAGCTCAAGAGAAAGGACGCTGTAATCGAGGAACTTGAGAGGGATAAATTACAGACTGCTCAGGTCACTGATCAGATGCAGCATTATCAGGTGCAGTATAATTACAATAGGACTCTGCAGCAGGAGCTCCAGAGGACGATGAATGCGATGGAGCTGTTAAAGAAGGAGAATCAAACGTTGATAGCCAAGTTACATGCCCTTGGCAGGGATTCTGGGGATGTTGATGAGGGAATCGCTGAGGAAGTTGGGGAGGAGGTCGAGGCATCTGTGGAGGTCCCGATTGAAAAAAAGAATTCAGAGGTGCAGACCTTGGAGGGCCTCGAGGGGGAGATCCTCTCTGAACCTCTCAAGAAGCTCGAGATGAGGTTCAAGGAAACAATGGAGAAAGTCGCTGAATTAACCGATGAGAAGCAAAAGCTCGAGCATTTGGTGCTCCAGCTCCAGGGGGAGACTGAAACTATAGGAGAGTACATCACTTTGTATCAGAAACAACGTGCCATTCTTCAGAAGAAAGCTCTGGAAAAGGAGCAGACTTTCAGACTACTGGTGGAGCAGAGGAATCAACAGCAGGTGCAGCTTCACCAGTTGAAAGTCCTTGTTGCTGAATTGTTGAGAACCCAGGCGGGAGGCAAATCGGGGGATCACTCCGTGCCTCAGGAGGCTCTCCCGAAAGAAGAGAATCATATACGTACGCAAAATACCCTACCATTATTTATTAATATTCAGTATTCAATTTTTCGCTGTAACATATTTGTTGAATGTTGAATTATTTTTTAATTAATGAATTCTTTCATCTTTCATTAGATGGAGAAGTGGATGCTGAAAAACCACGAGAGGACCCGAAACAAGAGGCGTCTTCGATGGATTTGAAAAATGAAACAGCATCCAAAATCCTTGATCTTTTGACAGAAATAAAAGACTGCAAGGACACGTGTTCCCTCGAGCCGAATTTCCATCCCTGTCTCGGGTGCTCCGGAAAACTCATCACAGTTTAGCGAGAGTTTGCTACTATTTTTAATACGAAACTTGGCCTTGCATGTAATTTATTCATTGAACACAAAGATAATGTAAATAGCAATAGAGTATTTCCGTGTTGTGATTACGATATTTTGTCAGTCTCTCAAGATTTTATTTACGATTATTAAACTACAATGTTAATATATTTAATTTGTTATTAAATTTTTGGTTAATGTTTTGTCGGCAGTAGAAGTATTCCGTGGATAATATTTTAATTTTTTTTTCAGTGAGAAATTCTGGTATTGTACTTGAGAAATAAAATTTTTCACGCGCTCCCGAATCAAATTGTTATTTGAAGAGGAGGAAGAGTGAGTAGACCCAATTGGTTTTTTAATTTTTTTATTAGATTTTGTGAAACATGTGACAGATTTATGCCTTGAGGGCGTACTTCCTCACAGGCCAAGCAGATAATTTCCTGACTTCCTTCAATGTCTTTTTCCCAGCCTGGAATGGAGTCAACTTCCTGCGAATGGCTCGAGTCTTCTTTGGCCTAAGGTCCAGGGGCTTGTACTTCTTATTTTTAAAAAGGAGACGAAGATTCTCCTTCTGCTTCTGGTGCATAATTATATATACACGGGCGATTGCCTTACGTACGACACGTCTGCAAGAGTCAAATTATTCATAACCGTCAACTCCTTTTAACTTTTTCATTATAACAGAATTAAATTATTATTCCTTGATATTCTTCGTAAAATTACAAGAGTAAATATTTCCTTCATATGAATAATCGTTGCATTTATCGTGACTATAAAAGCAATTACTGAAAAATGAATCAAAGAACTTACATCTTGGAGAGCTTGGAAGCTGCACCTCCTGTCACTTTGGCAACCCTGAGGTTGGTCAGCTCAGTTTTGAGCTCCTCCAGCTGCTTGAGCAGCTCCTTTTTCTCCTTCGTCCTCAACTCGGAGCACTTGACTTTCACCTGAAACACAACAATCCAAACATTAACAAAAATATCACAATCACAAGAAAACTTAACCTCAAACCCCGTCTAATCGTCCGCCACAGAAAAATGTCAATTTTTCTCTCCAAACTAATAATAAAAAAAATCATTGAAAAACACTGTTCATCAGGAGTAGAGTAATTAATGAGACTAAAAGTAATTTTAATAATGAAAATCTAATTATTGGAGTCTGCAATGGAATGCAATGGAATACACTGTTCACTACTTTTGATTTATCATAAAACAACGAATATTAAGCGACCACTGAAAATAATACAACTGCTTCGTTGCATGAACAATATTTTCAAATAGTTGTATTTGTTTTTTAAAATTTAGTGGACGATGCGTTGTATAAATACGGATTACGAGGTGGTCCTAAAAACTAACCATTTTGTCGCACGTTTGTGGAAAGAAAGAGAAAGAAGATAACGGAAGCGGTCGGTCTCCCAAGAAATCGACTCTCTAGTCAAATTACAGATTATTTTGATTCGCGTAGTGATTAACGGTCGACCAGTCGAAGGTTCGAAACTGAACGTTCGTTCTCCGCAGAAAAAGGCAAAAAATTGTTGTAAACGTCAGAAATAATAGTGATTTGTTATATTCTATTTGTAATTAAGTGCGGGAGTGAAAATTTTATAATCTATCATCGAAGTGCGTGAGTGACAACAGTGTTCCAAGAATTTTGTGTGCAAATGTAAGGATGAAGGAGAACAAAGGAATTGGCGTCGAGGCGGTGAGTTGCAATGATTCTAATAATGATTTTGATTGTGGATCGATAAAAGGATTCGCATCGGGGGGAAATCAGAACAACCGAAAAAGAATGGATTGAGCAAGAATGAAAAGAAAGGTTAAGGGTGGATTGATGGTTTTAATAATCTTGTGACTCAATCCTCAGGATCTGTCTCGATCTGTCTTTATTTACATCCAACAAAATTCATAAACAAATCATCCACAACAGTTTTGGTATCCTTGCACACACGCACACACAAAACTGGGGTTTTTATTTTGAAACTAAAGCCCAGAGATATCACTCTTTCGCACCCGAAGCATTTCTTTTCCTAGGATGAAACTGTCATCGTGCTCTTGAATTTCGATTTTACCCAAAAAATATTGGGACAATGGTTGGTGTCGTTGATTACACGACAGATGACAAGGCACATGCCATCGGAATAGTTTATTCTCAATTTTATTCGGTGACCTTGTCAAGAATTTGGACTATTTATTGTTGAAAGGTTTTTTGAAATGCTCGATGGAATAACGAAGCGGTAAAATATAACTTATTGAATTTTACATCTTTGTTAAGTATCGATTTATCGATAACTATCAAGTCGAGGTGGAAACGCTGGAGAGCTTTTTTGTTGTTAATTACTTTTTCAACAAAAGGGCCTCTTGATATTTCCTTCTAAAGTCATTAGTTTTTGAGATTAATTGATTTTTACCAAAACTAAAATTCGACCTGTGTCACTTTACCACTTGGTTACTGAATTCAACGGTTATCTTGAAAATGAGAAGTTTTAGGGTGAACATCATAGGAACTTTTTTGCAGGCAATTAAATTGTCAACAAACATTGTCTTTTGACGATTAGTCCTAAAATTCCTGATTACCGAGATAATTGAGATCTCATCAAACGTTTACCACTGATTTTCCTCGCGCCTCGTAAAAATGACTGGTTTGACGATTTAAAATTAAGCTGTCCTAAAGTTTTTCATCTTTTCTAAATAGTGAGGTGTTTACATAGTATAGGATTTATATATAAAGACTCTTGAGCAGTTGAAATACAATTGCCACTAAGTACCTTCTGTCACGTTAAATTGACTTAGTATCATGCACGAAATTATTCATGTTTTCTCCTCGTGTCGAAATGATTGCCCAAGTTGGGAATGCCTGTACAGATAATATCGATTTTTTTACACGTCAGTTTTCATCAGTTTTCCTCTTTAGTAGACAAATAATTAATTTATTGTATTACGTACAATATTCTATATACATTTCTCAGAAACGAATGGCACATTTTAATCTGGCCCGTGTGGCAGGTTGTGGACATGAAAATTTATTTCCTCTTTTTTCCTTCAATTCATTTATTTTCTCAACACCAAGACAATGAGAATCAGCAAATGTGCTTTATCAATGGATAACTAAGGGCTATCACCTGTTAATTTTTCGCAAGTTTACGGGAATTGAATTGAAAAAATTGTTCAAGGTAAAATGAGCACGCTAAACCCTTCAATCAGCAGATATATAGAAGTCGTAAAAAAAAAATACATAACGCCGTTTTGGTCCAGATTTCTTGACAAATTATGCGGTAAGGAGATACTTCAGTCTCACATCAAAGTTCTCTCGACTTGCAAACAATTTGACTAGGATTAAATTTTATATTCAAACGAATTTTCCACCTAAAAAATTAAACATTATGATTCGCCTAATTGTGCTCTCAATCGAACAAAAAATCTTCACTCTTTGTTAATTCATTAACTGAAATGATCACAAGTGCACAAAACTGAAGATCAATTCACATTTCGTGGATTTAATTGTCACTAATTTTCACCCTCAACTTCTTACCGCGAGCTTAGCGGATTAAATTATACGTATTGGAAAATGAAACTACAACAGGAATATCACCAAATCCACCCCTCGAACAACGTCCATTTCTGTTTTTGGTTTTTCAAATTCTCACACCGAAGAATTCTTTTTCTAATCGAGTGCCAGTTGCACTTTATATTTTCGCAGAGCCTGAGATTATCTCTTGATACAATTCAGGCGTCACTTCGACGTACTCTTTATTGCCAGAGCGGAAATATACTTTATCCTGAATTTTATTGGGATCAAAGCCCTCTTTCTGGAGATTTATTTTCTTGAGCTTGAATGTACTCGTCATTTCGAGTTCTTTGACGATTCGGAGGAATATAGGACGAGCGTACGAGGGAAGTGCACGATCCAGGCCCTCGGCCAGGGCTTTAAAGTCCAAAAGACACTCGGGGTCTACAATAGCGGCCATTCCTGCACGTCCCTCCATCCCTGGTACCTTTAAACATCAAATAAAAAATATTTTCACGTTCTTCTTTCATTAATAGCGCCAGATATTTGAAGAAAATATCAAAGAGCCTATATTCTCTATTTTAAACCGATAGCTTTCGACGTAAATCGATAAATAAGGAAGACGTTAGGAGTTTCTTCAATTCATCACTCAATCAATTATTATCCGTGATTTTACTCACTTGAACTCCATAGACTGTAGTGTCTCTGTGTCCAGCCACATTACTCACAACCCCCTCGACCTCAGCAGTTGCCACATTTTCACCTTTCCACCTAAACGTATCACCAGTTCTGTCTTTAAAGTAAAAATACCCCAATTCGTCCTGCACCAATATATCACCCGAGAGAAATGCCCGGTCTCCCTTTTTGAACACGTTCTCTATCACTTTTTTCGCGGATGCCTCCTTGTCCAGGTATCCGTTGAACTCCCTCGAGGCATTGCCCTGCTTGATCAGCCCAATGAACATGCCAGGTTCGTCTGCAATGTACCAATAATTTATTTATGGAAAAAAGAAAAATTACTTTAAACCGCTGCAATGGCTTGATTTTTTATCAAATGCTCGCGCTATAATTGAACCAGAGAAATAATGACTCACTTATTTCTGCCCGTATGCAAAGTCCATCGGGTCCTCTGACTGGTTCGCAAGTCTCTGGATTCACGCGAATGATAGCAACCGGATGAAGTGACTTTGGTAGAATCGATGGTACAAATCCCACAGCACCAACTTGATTGTCAACATTAACAATATTGGCATTTCCCTCGCTCGAGCCGTAGACCTCGGTAACTTGTTCAATCTTGAAACGATCCACAAACTTCTGCCATATTTGCGGTCTCATTCCATTACCAACCATTAATCTCACTGAATGCTGGGTGTCCTCCGGTCTCGGTGGTGCTGACAACAAATATCTGCACATTTCCCCGATGTACTCTGCCAATGTGCAATTGTACTTGATACAATCTGTCCAGTATGCCGATACCGAGAATTTAGTACGGAGAACACTTGGTATTCCTTTGACTAGTGCACATCCAGTACCCACCATCCCCCCAGCCATGTGGTACAGTGGTATTGGATTGTACATTATGTCACTCTCCGACCGCAATCCCAGCATGTGGTATGTTGCCATTGTCACCAGGAGGTACCTGAAAGGCAATGATTTTGCTACCAAGTGATAAAGAAATTCAATTTAAAAAAGAAGTCCCTTTCCTCGCTCCAAAATTCATAGATCAGATAATGGAAAAAAATAATTGTTATTTTCATTCTATTTTTTTAAAAGAGGTTTAATATCATCCGCGAGGTGAATATTGATGGGAAATTAAGGCAGGTTACATTCGAATAAATAGTAATGCATTATTTCAAAACTGGCAAATTTCTTTCTCGATTCATGCCAACGAGTCTCCCGCCATAAGAAGCTGGACATCAGCGCCCTAATCTCATTCCCTCGAGTTGTGAGGTCTCCCTGACAGGATTACCCGTTCGTTACGTCCAGTTCAAGCACCCAATCGTTTTCCAATCGATTAATAAAACTCATCCTAAAGAATCGACGTCTAAAAATAAGTGATCAATGTGAGATCGTGAAAAAAGCCTCATATAGATAGTAATGAGCTCGTGTATTGGTGTCTCCCTCATTAAAACGTGACCCACATTTCCTGATCGATAATCCGTGAATAATGCAGAAATCATAGGCCTCAACTTGACCAGAAGCCAAACTCAAATCACTACATTCTGAACTCCCTTCTCTGTTAGTTTCTTTTTTTGTTGTTTTTTTAAACGAAATTGTTGGTCATATCTGCGTATAAATACGAGCAGAAAACGCGAACTAGATCGATACTCACGAGGTTGAGCATTGCTCCTTTTTTTATGAGTTTGTGGAGCTCTCACCTAGAATTTGGCATGAGAACTGCCTTCGGTAGACCAGTGGTACCACTCGTGTATATGTAGAGGAGATGGTCTCTGTATCCTGGCTCCTCCTCCACTACTGGATACTCCTTGCTCGCCTCTGACAGGAGTTTATCTAGATTTCGTATCTCCTCCTGGACGTCATTCACTCCGGCCCCCTGTTTGTACCACTCAAGATCCTGGATCGACCCCCTGATCTCGTCAATTGCTATCGAATATATTTTTCGTGTCAATGAATCATTAAAACTAGGAAGTCAAACAACAAGTTGTTCCATTTAACATTCATTCCCTGTGGAGGACACATTTTTGTAGCTCCCATGCTACAAAAAATGTCCTGAGAAAGATGAGTTATCTCCTCTTTTTTTAAATATCAATTAATATCCCAACTTCGTCTCGAATCCAGTGGTTGCGAGATAAATCGATAAGTAATGAAAATGTTAAATGTGAATTATCTCACTTTATCATTTTCTTGTGAAATTGGAGAAGCATCTGAAGTTTGATACGTACCAGAAGCCACTTCATTCCCATAAATGACGGCCTTGACTTTAGCAATAGTCAGACAATGGGTGAGAAGTTGGAGTCGGAGATTGGTATTGATCAGAGCAGTGATAACACCAAGTTTACCGAGACCTAGCCAAGTTGCCACGAACTCTGGCTTATTGGGCATCATCAGTGCCACTGCATCACCTTTCCTATAGCCAGCTTTCTGAAATACGTCAGCTATTCTGTTGCTGTACTCGTCGATCTGTGAAATATCATCATTGCTCTTGTTATCAATTATCAACAATTAGGGGTCACTACTCTTAGACCATCGATCAGGCAAAAATAAATGACTCAATCCGTGACAATATCTCCATTAATACACACAAAGAGAAAATCAGTTCATAAATTGATGCAAATATAATTCTTCTTCATCCAATGATTTATAAATTAATGGAATTAATTTGGAATGAGAGGAACTCGTTTGGTTCAAATGAAGAATTTTTTTTTTGTATGTGCTACTGAGAGAATGTCATGAATAGGGCGAAGTTTATGTGCCAGCACTAAAATTTTCCTGGCCATCACTTTGCGGACTTTTTCTACTGCTGTACTACGGTTTATCTCGAGAATTTTTCTCAGTGTTGGTGGATTTTATTGAGGGTAGATGGAGGAAGGATTTTAATGCAAAGAGGAGTAATGTGGGAGGATAATAGAAGAGTGTGAAAGGGCACTTACGTCAGCATTTGTCCATATGCGACCCTCAAAGATAAAGCAGGGCTTGTTGGGATAGAGTTTCGTACGTTCTTTGAAAATTTTCATTACAGTCGTGTTGTTTCTGACGTAACGCTTTGTTTCTCGGTCTGCGTTGGCGTAACGATACAGAAATCTAGAAAGAGCAAAAAGGGAATTTATTAGGTGTCATTTGTCGAAGCTGAAGTGCTTCCGATGACCTAATGGATGGATTTTCTGACGGAAGATATCGATTACTGTTGAAAATTGGTATTGAGTAAGACTTCAATTTCTTCACCAATCATTTTTTTTTTCGAAATCAATTGATCGCTCTGGATTTCGAGTGGTGCAATAATTGTCATGAATATCGATTTCATTCATGAGATCTTTATGTAAGATATTCATTGCCGATTTTAATTACTAATTTGCCCCAACGTCGAGATGCAAGAACCAGGAAAAATGTCGAAAATGTGTAAATCGATTCAGAATAGAAATTGGTGGAGCTGATTAGTGGTTTGGATACCCAGATAAAAGTGAGACGTAAACACAAATAGTTCAAAGTTCGTATCTGGGAAAGGACGCAGTGATTATGACCTTTAGATGAAGCTTAACCCCCGGGTAGACAGGTAGAACTCCGATTAATTAGACGATAGCGTAGGCGCGTATTCCATGGGGCAAGCAATATTCCTGGCAAAGTTATGGTCGCAATATCGTAAATTCTGTGGGGCTGGCATACTCCTTGATATGTGAAATCCACGGGAACCGGAAAGGGCAGCTGTATTGAATTTTGTTGGAAATCATTTCCAAATGTACTGACATACTTCCAATTTCCAATTCCAATTCCAATTCCAATTTCACAATTTTAAATCTTTATTTACATAATTATTGGTATTAGGAAGAATTATGAGGATTTTTTTGTTAGAAATGTTAATCAGCTACAAAAAATTCCATTCAAGAAGTCCAGGAAGTGGTGAAGTGCGATAATTCGAATTAACCAATTTCTTGGGTTTCAGTTTTATTTAAAAGGGATATTCTGAAAATTTATTAATGGAGTGACATTATAAATAGTTGAATTAGATGAATAATTTATTTCCTGAGGGGTGTAATTAAAATAGTTTATGTAAAAGAGAAATAACACGTGGACGTTGATGTGTGATAGTCGACTTAGCGATGTGGCACTTTGGAAACTCGTCACTTGACAATGAATAATTCACGCGAAGGACAACCCTAGCACGCAAAACTATCGCAACTCTCACGAGCAAGATAATACCGTTAGAGTAAATTAAAACCTAAAAGTGCGATTGCCCCCTGGAACTGTCCGTGGCAGATAGAGTTGTTCCTCTTGAGAAAAACGATGAGAAATCGAAGAAGTAAATGAGGCCGTGTTTCTGGATTTCTGGGTAAACTCCTTGGCTCTATCTTTTTTTCTACATCAGAAGTGCAAACAGAATAGTTTACGGTTTCTCAAGGCAAACACTGAGAAAACTCGTTATTTTTCTCAATTAAATTTACTAGTTCCACAATTTGTTCCCAACATTCAAATTTTTGAATGATTAATATTGGAGTATTTTGCTCTACAAATACTGATTTTAAAAATTAACTTAAATTATATAAAGATCGGCATTGCTTACATTAAAATTTTCTATGGCTAAACAAATTTGAGAGTAAAGGTGAAGTGTCATTGATAGATGTCTGGAGTATATTTAATTGACGGATGTTTTTTATATATATATTTTTTTTAGCGCAGTCTTCTCTGGAATTCAGAAATTGCGGTAAAATCACGGCCAACAAATCCGCGATTGCTCATCCATAAAACCCCTGTCTCTCTATCCTCCACCAACGGTTCATGTATCGATCGCTTTCATGATGCAAGCCTACTGTCTGCATTTTCCGATAAAACGTCAAACAGAAAGTAGTTGCAGTCATTACTGAACACCTCTTCACTATTAATACCTCCAATCAACACTCGTGCAACAGTATTAGAAAGGCTTTCAAATTTCAGGGAAAATACCCCAATAATTCTCATGAGAATGACATTGAATCGGATTTTAGGGGCAGAGTAATTATGAAAATTCAGTTCTTGTAGCAAAAAAATAAGAGTGAAAATATATTTTTCCACTGTTCTCCCACATATTCTCAATTTTTACTCGACATTTTTCCCCGTGTGAAAAAATCTGGAAAATTTCCTTCATCCTCATAGACCGAGTAAATCCCGCGATTCTATTCCGCCGTTCCTGCAATAAACCCAGAAATAAAAATCCTATCCACATTTCTCTGACGACGATTACCTCCATAAAAATAGTATCTGAAATTGCTAGAACTCTGAGTATAAGTCCACGACCTTTTAATCTTCCATTTCTATTCCATGGGCAATCCACACCGGAAGATAGCGGGTGCCTCCAAGATTTCGAATCAAACGAAACCGGAAGGCCCCTTCTCCCAAAAACTGAGAGAAAATAAATTCACCCCAAAATGTCCTCACAAAATCTCTATCTAACTCATATTTAAAAAACCAATAGTACAAAAACTTCTCCAAGTAATTACATCTCTTGTATTTCTTTTCAAAGTCATCAATTGTTAATCTCTTGACGAATTTAAATCAAAATTATCCTATAAATCTCTAGTTACTGATTATTTCCCCCAGTGATAGGTGATAGTGAGGAAAGTGATATTCCTGGAACCTTGCGTCATTTCACCCTTGATAGAACCCCTCTAAACCCACTTCCCTCCCGTTTTTCCCAACTGCTGAATAATAAATGAGTACTTACTTGATGTCTCGCGGTAGTGTCCTGAGGATCAGGTAGAATTTTCGATGATACCGGCATAAAAATGGTATGATCAAAGCAGCGAATGTTAACTGAGCAATCCTCGTATAGGATCCAATCTTCGCGACAATACCCGCTGCCATGAGTACGGCTATTGCCACCACGAGGCAGGCGAATCTGACGTCCATTTCCTGACAATAAAATAAAACCAGGGCAAAGCCGTTGTCAATGACTATTACACACGTTATGTCGGGGTCGCCAGGTGTCGCGGGGCTGCCAACAGAAGGAATATTATTTTTTTTTTTTTCACCCCTTCGTCTTGGATGCACTAGGAGTTGATTGATAACTGGGGGTTGAATGATAACTAGAGGAATGCGAGACCTGGGGGAAGAGGACTGATCCCTTTGGGGGATCTCTCGCACTTTTACACCGGTTCTTTATATTTATTTATAATTTTCAGTATCAACCCACGGGGGAGATTGACTTGGAACCCAGAGGCTCTGTAAACCGTGGAAATATCGCCGTTTCCTCTGTTGCGTGCACTTAACGATCGGCGCGTGCGCAAAACACGTGGGGGACGTGTTCTGGAGGTGAAGTTTGTGTAGGTGAATAAGGGGATTGGCTTTATTTCTATTTCTATGTTGTAACGTTATGGGTGGATTGTAGTCACCCCCTGTTCACGCACACCTATGAAACCCTTGCACCTGTCCCTCTGGAAGACGCGATGTGGTCAATTTTCAATGGATAAAATTCTATTTCTACTTTAATCAATTTGAAATTTCAGTTTATCACTCGGAATTTTATCGTGATAATTTTTTGGTGGATGATTTGGTTATTTAGGGTTCAGGTTCACGGCCTGCACTGCTGGGGACTCCTGACGCGATTGTCGACTGTCGTATCCAGGAGAAGGGGGACAGGTTTTTAAATATCGATATCGTGGGAACGGCTGAGTGAATTTGGGGATTTTTTGTTTAGTTTTGAAGGGACTTTTTTTATTGCGAAAATGAGGGCTCGACTGTTTGAATCGAAACGTTTCATTCAGGGATATTGATAATTTCTTCGAGTTGTTTTACTTAACGGTTTCTATTGATTTTCGAGGGGTGCGAATTTAACGAGCATTTTTTCGAGTCTTATCGGGGGCTGAAGGGTTAAACGAGAGGGATGATAACACTGGTGATCAAGTGGAGGGTCCAAGTGAGGTCAGGCCACTTTGGATTTTTTTTCTCGTCGAAAACTTGAACTCCCGGTGGAGGAGGAATTTCGGTTGGAATTTCGTGACTCGTTCGTAACGTTGGGGCAGGTCGGGGAATTCAAATGCAATTCTTTTGGGAATCTGTGGGATCCTCGTTGGGAGATTGTTCATTTTCACTTACACAGATTACACGGTAAACTTGAATCGGAATTCCCCGTCCGGGATGCAACCCAGCAAACCGTCCGACAACGACTGAAACGAGGTTTGCGAAAAACGATATAATACTTGTAGTCGTTGCGCATCGCAAACTCCGTCTGCGATTTCGATAGTTCCCCCTCTCTGGGATTAAAATCCTCCAGCGGATGATTGTCCTCGTGTTCACGAATTATTCTGACCGTTCCAAAATTTTTATTTCAACTTTTTCGATAAATTTTAGAAATTTTTATCAACTTTGGATACTAGAAATAACTAGAAAAAAATTGCGGAGTGTGGTTTTGCATTTTTCCTTTGAGGATAATGTTTTAGGGCAAGCCTCGTTAAGTCAATCTATTCATGTAGTCTTGGATGTGGAACTAGAGGGAAAAATTATGTCGTGGCATTTTTTAGCTTGAAAGTGCGAAGTACCGTTCAATCGCACGAGAAAATTATTTTAAGAATGCAGAGTCATTTATCGTAATCGTTTCGAAAGTTTCGAAGGTTAATTCTTAAAGTTAATGAGGCCCGATAATTATGGGGTAATCTAGAGGGATTATTACTTGCTGATTTGATTAAACGACATCCAAAATATAGTCGTATAGTATTTTTAAATAAATGTTGAGCAATTTTATTGGAAAACGACGAATTCTGATTAATTGACACAACAAATTGCCTAGAAAATTGGTCTCCATATTTTTTATAGAACCGAAGTGAACGAGTGCGTGCAATAAAAAAAATCTTGATAACAAGTTTGTCCGTTATGACAAAAATTTAAATAATTAACATCGTGGCGTTTGCACTAACAAAAAATCTAGATTTCCCGTCTCTTCAGCAGACGTTTGGTAGACATTGTAAAACAAATAACTTAAAAATTGAAATTTGTCTGAATTTCACCTCGTAGCATTTCGATTCATACTCGAGAGTTTTAGTGTTTAAGAACAAGTGTGTGAAGTTCAGACATTAATTTCTGCTTGACAGTCAAGGACGGACTTTTATATTTTCCCTCATCACGAAATGACGGTCATGGAGATGGAAATTCTCCAGGGGTTCCTGTATTTCGAGAGCTTCTCTTTGTCTTGTTCACTGAGAAGGAAAACAATAGAGCAAGGGATATCATAAGAACTTGTGGGTATTGGATTATGCACAGAAGAATCCATTGTGATGATAAGTTCAACCTCCAAGAATCTCGGAATACTGACCTTTACCTCGATCCTTTTTACACCTTACCGAGGGACCATGAAGCCTCAATGGTCGGGATCGCTGTCTCATTAAATTTTTTTAAGACAACAAATAGAACTCGTCCTGTTCCTCCACCTCTTGCGGATAAATATTAACAAATTCATTATTAATCACGCGGTTTCTGAAGTACTAAATTAAAAAAAAGTTCAATAGACTTATTGAAAATTTAATACACAATTTGTTTATTAGCAGAAATAATTGATTTATCTTGAATTTATTGAATCAATGAGTTTTTATAAATTAATACATGCGTAGGAGTTTTTGGAAAAAGAAGAAAAAGTGATTAAAACTTCAAAAATTAGCTTCTGTTTTATTTTTAATTGAGTAAGTAAAAAATCACGGAAATTTGATAATGTCGTCTGCACTCCATTCTACAATTACCGGGGCCCTTTCTTTTATCAAAACTAGCAACATGCCTCATGGGCATTCCAGACGCAACTCTGCACTTATAAATAGAATTAGTCATTGCGTATCGCCCCATCATGAAATTTAACGTAAATGCGTCAATAGAAAATCGTTCAGTCGGGTCTCAAAGGCGAGATGATTCCATTGCCCTGTGACATTTGATTTTTTAATTGAAGTGGCAATTTCAGCTTCAGATTCGAATTCAATTAAATATTACGACATGGCTTCATATGACTTAATGATTAAAAGTGATTTGCAGTTAATTCAGTAGTGATACAGGGGGATACGTTGAATTATCTCTCGGTTGAGTTTTTGAATAATATTTGCGAATCCGAGGAAAATTTTTCAAATTACTGTGATAACACTTGTGGTAGCTCTCAATCGGTTCCACAAAAAAGGTTCTAATAAAAATTTCACCATCTCCTTTGGATTCTGAGAGATCGATGGAAAATTTGACAATTGTCAGAATCGACTTATTTCTTTCGACTTACCACTACATTAATGGATCATTCCTGATAATGTTTTAAATAGAAAGTTCAAGGGAGATTCAATAAAATTATCTATTCAACTTTTTGATACGTGAGAAGAAAAGACTCTGGAAAAATTTACATATGCATAGGAAATACACTTCCGGTGTAATTTTTTCCATGTGTTGTGAATTGATAAGTCAACATTGGATTGGTCTGAGGAGATGAATGAAAAAATTCACAGGGATATATATAAAATATCGTCATTTTATTTCTAAAAAAATAACAAATAACAATGTTTGCTAAATCATTGTGACAAACCGCATACACCCGCTGAAAAAAATCTTGTAGAAATAACTGTTGACTGAAAAACAAGTCACAGATAATCACTTGATTTTGATTGCTCAATAAATCAAATATCATAAAGCCTCTGTTTGTGCGATACCGCGCGTTAAACGCTTTTCAAACGTATTCCTTCCTTAACACGACATAATAGAGAGAAATAAAAGAATGAATGTCGATGAATCCGAAACCGAAGCGACATAAGTACGTGATAAATGATCAGCTGTGTAATGTCAAAAAGCTCAGCTTAAAATGAAAATCTACTTAAAATTATACTTATATCCACTTCTATTTACAATAATTCAAGATGGAAGGCGGATTTTACCATAAAACGTATATTCTCATATAAAAAAAAATATCTGTCTCTCAAGAACACATTTTATGATCTCACTTTCATTGGAGTACAATTAAACGAGCGGTAATTGCACTTGAGTCATGAGATTCATGAGATATTTGTTCTTTTGTTTCTTCTCAGAAGCGAATTTTCAAAATACAGTAGAACAATTTCATGGTTGTTCTGTACTTCTTATTTCGCTCCTGATTTACTCGTTTTTTTAGAATGTCTTCCGCCTGAAATTTTTTGCTCGTTGTCTATTCGATTCCATGTGTTTCTTTGATTTTATTTTATTAGAAACGTATTTTGCCCTGATGTATTTGATCGTATGCCTCTGTCGTCAAGGGTAAATACCCGGACTTTTGATCCAAATAGTATAATTTATCACGCACTTTGTTCGGGTCGTATCCGTCCTCCTGAAGTTCTTTCTTCTTTAATTTGAATGTTCCTGTAATCATATCAACCCCATAATTGAATTAATTGAACGAATACTGACTGTTTCCTTCATATGAGAAAATATTGGATATTGGGCGGTTCAAAAAGGCCAGAAAAATTAAAAAAAAATACTAAATGACAGAAATTACTAAACGATTAAGAAAGATATACCTGTGAGATCAATTTTCGTTAGAATTCGAACAAACTGAGGTCTCGCATAGGCTGGCACATGCTCTCGTATGCTCTGTGCTAATTGATTTAAATCTAATGAACCATTCTCATCGAATATCGCCACCATGCCCGCTCTTCCCTCAGCACCCCGCACCTGAAAAGTCATCCCAAATTATCAAAAATCTAAATAACGATCGTCCAACTCATTGAATAAGATCCAAACGCCCACCTCAACCCCATAAACGATACAATCTCTGTAATTAACGAGATTGCTGACAATAGCTTCGACCTCTGACGTAGAAACATTCTCACCCTTCCATCTGAAGGTATCACCTGTCCTATCTTTGAAGTAAAGATACCCCAGCTCATCCGCCACTACGATATCACCTGGAGGAATAATTATACGAGGTGATATCGTTCTGTCTCAAATTCAGTCGAAATCATCATTCCAAGAACTTACCTGAGAGGAAAGCACTATCTCCTTTCACAAATACATCGCTGACTATTTTTCTCTCGGATGCTTTTTCATCCACGTACCCCAAGAAGGCCCTATGGGGATTATTGGGAATTATTTTACCGATGAAAACCCCAGGCTCGTCTACAATGGACAATTCAATTGATTAAATGTTGAGTAAATTCAATCCGTTTTTAAACAAATTAATTCGAAAGTTCGGACGATACTTACCGGGCTCGCAAGGGATGCACAAGCCTTTGGCATTTCTGATAGGCTCTCCTTCGGCATCGACTCTAATGATGGAAATGGGATAAACCGCTGGGACTATCCTTGACACGAATCCAATTGCACCTACTGTATTGTCGGTGTTTACTGAAACATAATTTATCATTCGAATACCGAATATTTTGACTTCTCAACAGCATAACGCTTTACCCTACATCTTAAATTCCCCACGAAAAAATTCATAGGAACTTTCAAATTCGTTCTATTCAAACGCAAGCGAGATGCAGTCGTATATATTTTATATTATAATCAATACGAATTTTTGGAATGCTTTCAATATTTTTTTCTTTTCTTTTTATGAGGAATGAATCTCTGTTTCGCAACTATCTTCCAGTCACTTTTATTATTCTGTATTCTCTCTGATTGGTTGATTATGTAAATTTTTTTCGTTTCTTTTCATTAAATAATCTCTGAGTGGGCGATGAGATTACCTATGTTGGCGTTGCCCTCGGTAGCTCCGTAGAATTCTTTAATGTTGGGGATCTTGAAACGAGTGACAAACTCCTTCCAAATTTGCGGCCTCAGACCATTGCCAAATATTGTTTTGACGTTGTGCTGGCTGTCCTCGGGTTTTGGAGGTACTGCCAGGATGTAACGACACATTTCTCCGATGTACTGAGCGACCTACATATGAATTTTTATTAAACATTTTTTTAGAAATTCATAAACACTCATTAACTGATAAAAATCCTATAACCATATATATACATTATTTCATAATTTCCATTATTACATAGTGATGTAATATTTGGGAGATAGAATTAAATAGAATTGAATTAATTTAAATTGAATAGAATTCTCGCGTGATTAGAGTGGGATTAGAGCAATTTTTAGACTGAGATTATTTACACATAAAAATGAATAATCTACGTCATTAAATCATCATTAAACTATATTCTTAAAGAGCCACGACGAAAATTAATCATGGTTTTGAGGATATGGCTTTCGATACCCTTCTGGGACTGCGCATGCACTCACCGTGCAATTGTACTTGCGACAATCATCGAAGTACGCACTTGCTGAGAATTTTTTTCTGATGATTGTGGTCCCACCGTGGAGTAAGGTCTGACCTATTGACATTATACCACCCGCCGTGTGGTACAAAGGAAGTGGAGTGTAAAATCTGTCGGATCTTTTGAATCCGGCTAAAAAGTGAATACCACCGGCGATGAACATAAATCTGGAAGAAAATTTTCGAGGAGATATACTCATTGAGACTCCGAACAAGTGAATCTCCACGTTTCAATGGAAATTGCAATATAACAATCATTGATTCAGAATCAACGAAATGAAATAATGGAGTCACTGTCATTACTTGTAATTCGTGATGACTGCTGCTTTGGGAAGTCCTGTTGTTCCACTGGTGTAAATGTACATCAATTTATCTTTATAATTTCCTTTCTCTTGAACAACTGGAGGCACTGATGGAACATCAGCCAGAAGTGCTGACAAGTCCTTTTCCTTGAGACCTGAGGCGTTCGCCCCTGCATCGCCACCAAATCTGTAGAGAGCTAGCTTTGCATCCAGAGAAGGTGCAATATCCTTAACAGCTGTTCAATGAAGAACAAATAAAAACATCAATATTGATATTTCCACGTGACGTTTTCGGTTCTATCAGTATCAGAAAATCTTATGAATGCTTGGACTTATCTTATCTCGATCGAAACATTGTTGACTCACCTTCAGCCAATTCAGCGGAGAAAATTAACGCCTGGCATTTAGAAATGTTGACACTGTGCAGTAATGAGCTTTTTCTGAGATTGGTGTTGATCAGTGGAATGATTACACCGAGTTTACTCAGTCCCAACCAAATAGCTACGAACTCGGGTCGATTTTCCATCAACAACGAAACAGCATCGCCTTTTCTGTATCCATGGGTCTTGAATATTGTCGCAACTTTGTTGCTAAGATCCTCAATCTGCACAGAGATTATATATTTTCATGGAAACACAAACGAGAATATTAAAAAGGAAATTTGGAAATTGAAGAAAATTAATGAATCAATCGAATTAAATTTGATAGATAAATGGTGGCAATACATCACTCATCCTCTGCTGTCAATCGTTTCGACAAATATTTATGATATCCTGCAATGACAATTGTGAATGGGAAAGAGAAAATATTTTGTTCGATGCATGTATGGTATATTTCGTCACTAGGTCGTTGGGAATTTTTCTGAGGATTGTGTTGACATTTCTCGTCTTCACCTTGGACTGTAAACACAATCTTCAGAAAGGTTCTTTTCGGCTGAGTGACAAATATTTTTTAATCATTTTATTCATTCAGTCCGTGGACAGAGTGGCCTCACAGACTAAGTGACAAAAAGGAAATGAATCTACTGTATAAACATCGTCAGTGAATTGACCATAAATTCAAGTTCCAATAATTCCTCAATCTCTCATAATTACCCATTAAAGTATTATCACTTAATTGATCACAGTTGTCAATCATTCGTGATTGCCACAATTAAATATCCCTTTTGTTTAAATATTTTATTACACATGCGATATGAAGAGTTGAGAACTCAATTAGGAATTGAATGAAGAAACGATGTTTTTATTCTAGTTGTTTTCCGGTGGAATGAGCCCATTGTTTCAAGTGAAAATATTACCAACTGCTTGCAAAGCGTAATTAACGATGATTCTACAAACTCAATTAGACAATTGACATAAATTGCATTGAAAACGTCATATACGACTGAATACTTCCCGTTTATAGCCGAAGACGTTATATTGTGATTTGTGACAGAAATTTGATGATTTGTACGACGATTTCATCGATTGGTGGCTTTGAAGTGACAACTAGACTGTATTCACGAAATATTATAATTGATTTCTTGGGAATTACCTCTTGGAATGTCCATTCTCGATCTTCACAGATGAGACATGGCTTATTTGGGTGTTTGGCGACATTTTGTCGGAATATATCAGCGACACTTTGGTTTTTCTTCTCGTTACATCTCATCCACCACATCAGTTGAGCAAATTTCAATAAAGCCCTAAAATAATACCAGAATATATACATAATAATAATAAACTCTCACAATATTTTTTCCACATTTCAAAACGTCACATTGAGATGATACATAAATTTCATTCGACATGAATTTTACTTTTTACTTTTTACTTGGAAAAAATTTTAATTTACACTAAAGTACTCAAGTTTTTAACTTATTTGTTATACTATAAATGTTGCTGTGTGCAATAGTAAATAGATATTCGAAGCACGTGGGGATGTCTCGAGTGATAAAATAATTGTTTCCTGATAGTGCAGTTTCCTCTATTTAGCGAATTATGATCACCCCTTGATGAATGTAATAATGTGACCAATTGGTGCGCAATGATCATTCAAAAATACACGACATGTTGCGTGATAGAATCAATCCTCGATCATCCTCACTTAATTCTTCCTGTTCCTCCTCTCGTGGATGGTAAAACCCCAGAGTATAATGTTTCATAGATGCAACCGCGATCTCACGTTCGCTCAGCGAATTTTACTTACGCGATAGTCCATGACTCACTTACGAGAGGTGAAATGAAATTTAATGATTTGACTCCTCGATCGCTGAACTTAATGAATCAGAGTTGAAGGAATTTTCCATAAAAACGCCCAGGAAATTTTCTAGAATGGAAAGCTCTTTTCCAGGAAACATAACTAATCGTTGAGTGTCACCGGCAGTTATCACTAAACAAAAGGTCTTATCAATTAAGTTCGAAAAATTACCCAGTAAAATTCATAGCCACGAATGCCGCTAAATATTCAACGCTAACAGAAATAAAATTATTCCCCTTGTACTTTGAAGCCCAAACGCCTTTCGAATGCGCTTCAACAGTCAAAATTTCCATAATTGTGTAATAACCATAAAAACAGACGACCGTGGAAATGATAATTCGAAATCGAACTGCTCCAAAAGTCAATTCAAGAAAATGACACTTTTTTCATAAGAGACATTAAAGATTGAATCCAAACTGAACCCAATGAAACTTCATCGAATACTTAAAACATTTATTAATCAATGAATTATCGCGCAGTTAATGGATAAATTCATAGATTTTTTGTACATATTTATTTTGAGACTGTAAAAAATAGATCTTGCTTTTTCTCAAATATTCTCAAATATTCTCCCGCAGGATTTCCGTATCGAATAAAATTGAAATAAATGTAGGCCCGGTCTTGCACACAGTGAAAAAATTTGCAAATTAGAAATTTCTAATGCGGCATTGAAATTCCCATGAACGATGTGAGAGGCAGCATCCAAAGTTACAGTAGAAACTCCATTGAAATCCCGTTATAACTTCGAATGTTACTTTCTCGACCTACATGCAGTTAATTTTTCCCCTTGAAGAATGCACCTCCCTGAGCCATCGAATTCGCTGACAGAATTCAACGATAAATATGTCATAACATACGTGACGTTTTAAGAAAAAAATACAGTAGAATAAAAACTCACTTGACATCTCTGGGTGCTGTTTTGGCAGCTACATAGAACCACCTGAGTCGTCCACCAGATACGAAATACGCGATGACAACGACGATAAACAATTGGAGTACAAAAATAGGTCCCATGTAGATCCATACTAGGGCCACGAGGCCAGATAGGATCCCAAAGATTATCATCACCAGTGCTATATGTCGTAGCGTAGGAGCAACTGCCCGCCAACCGCGACTCGAACCACTACGAGAACAAATCGTGGCACTAGGTAGCGCCTCCGATCCTTCCTCTGACGTTTGATCACTCTTTCCCCCTCTTCCTCCTAGATCACCCCTCTCAACGTCCTGAAATCATTCAGCAAAAGGCGGTAAAAATCCAAATTCTCAAACAACGCTAATGTTCCCCCCCTTAAACCCAAAATTATTATTACTAGCTATTTTTTGAGTTTTCTAACGAATCGCTCGTCGGATCGACGCGAAAAAATATATCGATGGATTTGTCATTTTGTCATTGTTTCAAGACTCGCTAAATCTCATGATCGTGCAATAATTTTTTTTAGTTTGGGACACGCTGGAAAATTAATGATTTATCTGATTGTTGAGGTAATTGAAAAAAATTAATCGAGTGATTCCAGTGAAAAAAGGTTGCAATCCGTATTTTTTTAAATTTTCAATGACAATGACAATATTGTATGAAAATAGTTAGTTTATGTTTTGAGTTAAAATCCTAATTATTTTATGGTCAATGACGTTCAGCGATTCCTGCAATAATCGAAAACAATTTATGACATGTTTTATGCGAGGCCAATTATTTCTCAAAATGACCCTCGACCACGTGGTGAATGTCTAAATATCAAGGTCAAGATGCATCTGACTTCTGCAGGGCTCATTACCTAAGTATAATTAGGTAGAACGGATTAATTGCATTGTCATCCGAAAATATTCCGAAATTCCCGAAAAAAAAACGTCATACTGCCAATGATTCACTGATAATTCCCATAAAAATGGATCAATTCTTCTGAAAAAAAATAACAAACTTTCAACTTTTATAACTGTAATCATGAATACAAGTATGTTGTTTTATCATTGGTAAAAGAATCAATGTTCCCACTCTGGTAATTTTTTTTTCCCCGATGAAGGGCAAAAGATCTTGAATCATCATCTGCACGACTGCACGATCCACTTGAAAAATAAACGATCACCGATCTTCGTAAAGGTAACTGGTATCGCGTGTATTTCTCTTTTTCCTCGTGGCAGTCCAAAGTCCGTGGGTATTAACTATGCCTCCAAAAGAGACTTTGTTCGATAATGAATCATTAAAAACGACAGAAAGTCAGAATTCATTTCAAATTAGACATCGAGTCATTAAAATCCACTATTCCCCCAATTCTCCTCGAAAACCAAAAAATAAATAATAAATAACCCGACAGTTAAAAAAAAAAGAGTGAATGACGGCGTCTCCCGCATATTATTCCGCTTATTTTCCTCGTTCTCCGGTACCCAATAATTATTTAGTCATTACCCCACGATAGTCTGTTTTTTATTTTTATTCTTTCCATTTTTTCATTAATTTTTATCCATAAATTATGATCGGACAGCTTCCGATGTACGCAACACCGGAAGACCTCGGACGAGTCTCTTAAGGTGTTTCGAAAGTCAGGGGTTCTTGAATCGCGACCATTTTTTTTTACTCAAAAATAAAGTAACATCATGAAAGCAATGAGGTGCATTGACACCGGTGATCGTACAGCAATGAGTTGTTACGAGCCGGTTCAAAGAGAAAGTGAACGGTATGAGCACATGTACCTGGAGAAGCGTTATGAAATATCTCAGCTAACCCAAGGTCCTTTAAATCAATTAATCCCCACATTTTGCATCGCAAAGTATTCGAATCATCACTGAAGAATATTGTTTATTGAAAAATTAAGAGAACGCCTACTTCCTCAGCGTTACCAGGGGCTCGCCAACCGGGCATAAATAAATTAATAATTTGTCTTTAAAAATTCAGTCTCCTATTACCCAAAATTGCAGGTGTTTCAAATTTTCTGACAAATTGTTTATCAGATCATTATTTAAAAACGATAAAATTCAAGAACGGTATTTTTTTGGGGGGTAATCCGATCGATAATTTATCAGAAAATTCAAAAAACTGTAATTTTGACTAAAAGGGGCAGAACACCCTTACAATCTCTCTTAGAAATTGTATCACCTCATTTTTTCCACGCAGTCAACTCAATTACTTAAACCCCCACGTGCTCTTCAATATTCCAATGCTGGTACTGTCATTTCTCACGATTCGAAATTTATTGGAGACTTACCCTCATGTCATAGGAAAAATATAATCACGTAATTTTTTCCCCAGGAATGATATTTTTACTGCCGATAAATGCGTCCAGTAAAAATAACGAAACTCTTGGTTAATTTCCCCTACGACATGGGGGTTAAAATTCCACTGGAATTTTTCGAAAAAAAAATTGTCTCCGATTACTCACTGGGTGAATACCATTCCAGATCCACTGGAGTCCAGCTTTGACACATCTCTGTGTTATTCTTTTGAGTCTGATGGTGATTGTTAATCGGGTGAAGACCCGAGCGCAGGATCACATCAATGTAGCTTGTACTTTTATTTCGGCCGGAATCCCCGGATCCGTCTGACCTCGGATATTCCCCAGGAGTCCGTGGATATCTTATCCAACGAGTCCACCATATCGCTCAAGATCACCGCGAATTCAGGACAATTGTATTTTTTTTTTGCGATGTACCGAGAGACACGCGGTTGTGCGAACTACCAAGCGCGGGGTCTTCCATCCCCGAAAATCAATACGATTTAGCGAGTGCCACGCTGGTGTCGTGGATAAAAGGCGAATCAAGGGTTTGAATTTACACTCTACACCCTTCCGTAAGAAAATATAACTTTTTCGCGGTTTCTCATTAATGAACGACTCCGAAAATTACAAATTATTGCGAAGATTTTCTCTCGCTTTTCCCAGTCTTTGGAAAAGAACCACAAAACTCGAAAAAAAATGAATGGAAAATAATTGCACCACCACGAAACCTCGTGAGATATTAAATAATAACAAAAAGTCAGTCCCACCAATAATTTATCAGAAAAGTTTTCCAAAAACATGGATTTTTCCTAAAAACGTGTCAAAAATCCTTAAATTAGGGGAAAATTCGTATGAGTTAGAACCTTCGCGAATATTCCACGACCACGACCTATTCGTCGAACCAGAATTCAACCTTCTGGAAAATCGGTCTCACAAGCGGACCTTGTGCTGACCTCTTTTCCCCAACATTCCGCACGCTAACTTGGAAAATTAATGAAAAATAAAAATTCACATTGCATTGATCACCGGCATAATTACCGGAAAATGAATTACAATAAAGCTGCAATGGGAGCAGAAGAGAAGCTAATAATTTCGACCTACTAACCAACTAATGCATACGATACTTTTCCTAGTTGCACGCGGGTGCTCAAAATGTAAGAGAATAAACACTACAATGCGCTTTCACCATGAAATCCTGCACTCCATGAATTTCTGGGGGCACAATCAGGTGATTAAATCTCGCGACTGTCGTGTAGCGATAATAATCACACGATTTCATAATTATAAACTTGCTTCAAACTTTTTTATCCATTCCATTTATTTACCACAGAAAATTCCTTTCCTCAAGTCAATCGATTGAAAATGCGTTTTCATTTCAATCTGTGAATTTTCCCTCAATTTTTAATAGATTTATCTCTAAATCCATTGATCTTCAAGGGATCATCGTCAAAAGATGATATCTAAGGACTTCAAAAATTTAACAATCGAAAATTTAATATAAAAATCAATAATAAATTCTTTCAATATCTTTACAGTAGACTATTAACACGCAAGGTGCAAGGATAATTAAGAAAAATCCGAGAATGTTGGTTTGAAATTTTTTTTTTGAATAGGGTACATTCACTCCTGTCAGAGGGACATTAAAGAGAGAGCATGACCTCTCCTCAATTGCGCAAGATGTCCATTATGACTGTAAAAATGTATGCAGAAAGCGTTAAGAGACTAACCCGATCCTTCGCTGATATCATTTTGGCGGTTCCATTGTTGCTACTGGTGTTGTTATTAAGCGGTTCTTTTGAAATAGTGTCTGACATTTTTAATCACTAAGTTCTCGCGATTATCCACACGTCCAGTCTGGACTTAACACATATTCTGGATTTAATCGGTGAATCGCACAGTAATATTTCACTCTTAAAATCCATTAATCAATAATAAATTCTTCATTAATTGAAAAGACGAACACTTGATAACCTTCTGATGAAGTCCACGGACGAGATGATTTTTTGGTTTGTTTTACCAGTGATGCGGCTTTCTTTCTAATTACACTCGAAGGGGCAGATTATATTTGGGGAGAGATGAGATGATTCAAGGCTAGGGCAATCTGTGCGAAGATTTTTTGCGGTAATTTGGAGAATCCACCAGTGGAATAAGTCACGATATATGATATTTCGGGTGAATACTGGTGGGGAAGGGTCCCGACACGAGACTAAAACACTCTGGAAGTAGTTGAAGAGCTGAGTTGAACCATTCAGCTCACCTACTCCGTGCTCCTCCCTCCACCAGGTTCCCCGGACTCGACTTCTTTTCACATACATCGTGTATACGAACCACTTGTCGATCTGTCCTTTCTTCGTCGCATGCTGATGCACTCCTGGAAGATAATGAAAATCCTATAGAAAGTTGACCGACAATACTTGACAATTTCCCTGAATTCCCTCACGTGCGATTGTCAGTGGTAATTTTGAAGAATTTCACATTTCCAAACCGATATTAGGATTATCAACAAAACGTTACAATAATCCTGTAATTCCTCAATACTTCAAACCCAAGATTTATGGTACCCTGAGGAAAGAGTCCAGGATACGCGACTAATTTATAAGACGTACTCCAAACTCGAGAGCTGTTCAGTCCCAAACAAATTCGGACAATCGAAGATATTCCTCAAGTCATCGACCTTTTCGGGGATTTTTCAGTCTCTCGGTGAGGGAATTTTCTATTGCTGTCTCATAACAACAAAAATTACTGGATTTTCCGGAATGATTTATTTATTCAGTCGGATATTATAATATTTCATAATTTATTGCTTCGTTATTAGACCCCTGCCACTCGATGAAAGTAAAATGGAATTGCAAACCTATTTCATAAAGTCATGAAGTAACAATCAGTCGGAAATTGCCCGCATGTAATTTTCTATTCGCTCCGAAAATTACACCTGTTCGATTTCGAACATTTTAAAATGTCGTGAGTTATTACATACTATCAGATTATTCCAGCAAGAGGAGAAAATTGACTGTACGTTTTCACTTTACTCTTTACACCGATGAAAATGTCCTCTCGTGCAATAAATAAGACTGCGAATATTCTGTTCTTGAGTCTCAACTGAGACTTGAGATGCAATCGGCAGTGAATTTGAATAGATTGAATAAAGAATTTCGCATATTTGCAATTCAACAACATTATCTCTATCATCATGAATCAGACTTATTGATGTTCTTGATTCGAGGTTTGATTCCCCCAAGACGGAACAAGATAACACGTGGCATTAATCATCGGCTGTATTTTTCTTCATGATTCTTTGATTGTAATAAATGTCTGGATGTTCATTAATTATTACTTATTGTGATACTTATTGATTCCACATCGTCAGACTGTGCAACGAGTTCATTTCAACTCCAAAGTCGAATGATGATGTATGAGTGTGACCTTTGGAGTGAATAATTTATTCATTGCCTTCCCATGGCCGAAATATATCCGAAGGGGAATATTTCGAAGACTTTTTCATTGATCCTTCGGTCGATCGCATCACCCAACTGGTTTTCTCAAAACGTCTTAAAAAATCGTCTAGAAATTCAGGCAGGCTAATTAATAAATATATATTCAAGGACACGTCGACGATTTTTAAAGAGACACCTTTCAACGATTTTTAAATGCGTCCTTCTCGACGTTTGACAAGTAAACAACATCTTTCCAAATTTTCAGAACCATCATTAAGTAATAAAAACTAATATTTTTTCTTCTCATATTTCTGCGAGAGATTATTACGAACTGCTGCCTCAAATAACGAGAATGTGCTATAATTTTCCTGCATTTTATCTGAACTTTTAAAAAATTCGTAAACCTTTATAAAAAATACGGAAAAATTATGCTCGTGACATTTTTCATAAAATAATAATAAAATACAACGAACGGTATATTTTTTGGGTGAATACCAGTTATTTGGCGGAAAATGAAGGAAACCTGTAATTTTGGATTAAAGGGGACAGGACATTCTTAAATACTGAAAAGTTAATCATGTAGCCGACTCTCCTCGACGCATTATTATAGCAATAAAGTCGGGAACTGGAGCAATATGCTATGCGCATTCACCAAATAATTCAGGAATCGGTTTATAAATTTGCAGTTCTCCAATTTTCTCCAGCACGTCATCAAACTTATTAATTATTTAACGGGATTATCTTTATCCATGCGATCCTCACGGAATATTCCAACTCAATTTCCCTCGATTCAACACCCACGCGAGTCTCTTCGTGACGTGGAATAGATCGTGGAATTAATTGTGCAAATGGTTTTTGTTAATGAGGAAATGGGACAGTTAGTCAGTGGTTCGGTCTAACGGTTTCAGCAATCGACGGTTAGCATTTGCATCCTGTCTTCGGTGTCATTTGAGGCAAAAGTACTCAAGCTATTTGCATTTATCGCACATGGTTCTTTACTCGTTAGCAATTGTCCGATGCTCATCACGTACATCAGTTGAACGTGCAGTGAGGACACTAGACTTTTTCGTTTCTTTTCTCAAGCGTCTTGAAATGACGAGAAATATAAAATTCTAGCTTGTCACTCTTAAGTTGTCATGAGGGTTTCACAATTTTTTCGCATCATTTGCATTCCAAATTTATCATGGAGAACCCTGATCTTGCAAGATTTTCGACATCAAGCTTTCCCAATCCATCCGTTATCCATTCAAATTTTTTTCTTCTCTTGGATTTAAGAAGTTGTTGCTGACTGTTTTTAAATATTTATCGAGAGAATTTATACATGGGAAGTTTAGTTGATTGCGGTATATTGTCTTAGGATTTCACTCTGTAATTATGGTATGGAATTGCATGAAATATTTCTCAAACGTGACTCGTGAATGTGAGATTCATTGTCTCCTCCACGAGTGCCACTGACTTTGTTCGATGCAGGTCAAAAGTTGATGACTGATGGCATAAATTTGTGATTAAATCAACTGCTTGATTATACTGTATGATAATTATGACCCAGTGGTAACCGATGAATTGTGAAAAATTTCAAAAAAATAATCGAGTTCCTCTCCCCGTGTTCATTTTTTTTTCACCTAGAAAACCAGCGAAACATTGAGCGAATTGGAGAGATGACAAATTGTGTTGCACGGCTGTGGAACATCAGGGCCAACAACTTCTCCTCGAGTTTAACGAACCCTGATTTTGACGGTGGCGAATGTAGGATATCTTGTGAGTGGATTTCACGAACGCTAAAAAGTCCAGCTCCTTGAATTGCGAAAAAGTCCAAAGGACTTGTTGAGTCGGTGGACTTTGGAGTGAATTCGATGCGTATCACTACCTCATTTGATTACAACCGTATGAATATCGTCGGTACCTCGAGTGAATCGTTCAGTTACCTCTCCTGGTAAATGAATATGAAATGCTTAGTTTCATTTTAATGCGTGCATTCTAATCTGAATTAATGAATTATTTCTAAACAAATACCTCAACTTGATATTAGATCAAATTAAAAAATTTACGTGATCTTCTCGCCATTCACTCCCATTCCTTTTATTCACTCGTGTAAATTCAATCAATTATTTATTGTTCATTTAAATCGATCTTTTCGTAAAATGGCGTAAAATGGCGTAAAGAAAACGAAAAAACAGAATTTGATTCGATATTTAATTAATGACGCAACGAGTTATACTTTCAATTTAGTTTTGTATTTCAATCGGCAATTAGCATTCAATATAAATGATTCATTAACATATATAAAAATTAATTCAAATAGAAATTCACTCCTAGAAAATTTAATTAGGACCAGTGCATATGATATCGATAACTCCTTCAATTCCTATAAGACGCTGAAATTTAAATGCTCAGTGTATAAATAATTGGCTCCTTCAAAAATATTCAGCAGTCTGTGCTCGGCAAGTGCAAATCTCATTAAATGCTACAATAATTAAAACTCCTTTGCATTTTTTTCTCTCCACGTATGGCACGTGTGATACTTATCATGACATCTGATTTTTAATCATAATCATGAAGCACCTGCGTAATACGTTTGGTTTTGTACATTTTCCCACACTCGAGGTTTTTAAGCAAATTTTGTTGAAGGAGTTGAATGCATTCACCAGGTGTTGAGGTAACTATTTTCTAGAGACGTATACATCTCGAGATTCTGGCTGTAGTTTTTGAATGCTTCAGATACTTCAGCGATCTTGGATGGATGACAGACAACAACAGTTCTGCAGTGGTCAGATTCGAAGAGAGGTTTGATATACTTCTTGGCCATTTGACTCAAGCTCTTGAAGCCAACTGTGTAAATCTTCTTAACCATTTGACGATTGTAATCATGAGAGACGTTCTTGAAGTACGATAGCAAAGATTGAGACACTGTATCTCCAACACTCTTCTCTCTCTCAACGATTTCGAAGATTAAAGAGGACTTGGCACTGTCGTAGAGCGTTCTCTCCCACAAGTCATTCAAAATATGGCTTTCAATAATTGCTTTAGTCTCCTTATACGCTCCAACGATATTGGCAGATGCGTAGAAAGTTAAATACATGAGGCCCTCGTTAGGTCTAGCGCAAATATTAAAGCTATAAGCAAGACCTTGACCACGAACTTGTTTCCACATTGGACCTTCCAATTGCGTAAGATATTGCAGGCAAACGAGGAGAGGTGCCAAGTCCGGATGTTCAAAGTCATTGATACACGCGCAAGTTTGTGACAAAAAGGCTGAATCGACACATCCCAGCCCCAGAACACATCCCTGGAGCTTTATTTCCTCCTTAGAGTTGATGAGCTTCCAATCGGGGAGGATTTGCAACTTCTTCTTCTCGGCCTCCTTCACTTGCAGGACATTCCAAGGGCTGTAAAGATCCTTAACGTAATTTTTCAGCTTATCTACATTCGTTGCGATATAAATAAGAACATTTCCTCCATCAGTCAAGCTCTTGACAATTTTTTCGATCTCAGCAACGACAGCCTGACCATCACTACCCAGCTTCTCCACTATTTTCGTGAGGAACATCTGCTGTCTCATCAAACTGGCATTGAAATGATTGCTCTCTTTATTAAACATCAGCCCTCTCATAAGATCCCCACAGATCTTGTGTCCCTTTTTCTTGCAGATTGTGATCTCGTTCAGCATTTTAGAGGCAATGATTCTCAGTCTCTCGGGATTGAACTTGGTATCATAAAGCAACTCCCTGATCCACTGAATCCCTTTAGCGTACTTGGACATCTCTATCTGAAGCATGAGATTGACACTGTGGCTGTAGGCCCCACAGGAAAATTTGGAGACACCCTCGAAGCCCATCCTGGAATCGACAGCGATGGTATCAGCCTCGATCTCAGCGACAACATCCTCATAAGGAATGAGAGTTCCATTTCTCTCGATGGGGCACTCTCCAATGGCTTCGAGAATCAGGGGAAGATAACGCCTGGACTCTTGGACGAGCCCAGCTGTATTCATCACTACGAAGAGATACACGAAATTGGTGTTAACGTGATCTAGACAAGTGTAAAGAGGAATATTCTTGAGGTCGAATCGTGGATGTTGTTCGTTCCCATCGCAAACGAAGCTCCTGACATTGTGAAAATTAATGGAATCTGTCCCTGGGACTGGGACACACGTGAGGACCTCGTCGGGAATTGGTGCTTCGTTCTTTGCAACTGCTGCCTGAATATCCTTCTCCTTCTGCTTGAGTCCTTCTTCTCCCAGTGTATTCTTCCTATCCTTGAATCTCTGCTGCTCAGCCTCAGCGATTTCTTTCTGCTTCTCGACACTGGGCCTGGCATTCACCACAGCCATTGGCGCCTCGATGAGGTACTTCTTGAGAAGATTTATCCAGTAAGACTCCTCCTCGGCTGCCAGCTTCTTCAAAATCTCGATGGCATTCAGCCTCTGCTCCAGGTCCTTGTTATCGCGTCCATAAAGAGCATCACCAATCAACATAAAAGCGATAGCATCGTGAGGCATGTTCTCCAGATTACTCAGGGTCTCCAGCTGATGTCTGTGAATAACAGTGGCCATTCGTTTTATGTCGATGCCATTTTTGCAGACGTCTGACAGTACTTGCTTCAAGTGGCCCTTCACCAGGGGAATCTTTGGAAGAGGAACACCACGAAACATCAGATAAAGGACCGATACTGAGTTTTCAATTAGGCAGAAGTCCACGTTGCAGGCGTAGGGGTCCTCGATCTCGACGAATTCTTTTTGCAAAGGACTCACTGAGTTATCAGTGAGATATTTCAAGAGGAGGGAGCAGCCTGTCAGGTCGTAGAGTTCACTGACTCCAGAGGGACCCCTCCATCCAGCTGACACGAGGCCATTATCCTCGTCATCGCAGGGGTACAGGATGTCCTGCTCAGTATCTGCGGGGAAAGGGGGCACTGCACTCTGCCAGGGTCTCTGGAAAGGTCCTCCACTACCTCTTGAGATTATCTTGTCCTCCAGGGGGCGAAGGGCCTTGAAGACCTCTGCGTGCTGCACCTGGCCTGTTAGTATGATGGTCAAATTCTCTGGTCTGTAGTACTCCTTGTGAAATGCCTTGACTTTCTCGTTACTTGTGCTCTCCCTCAGATTTTTCAGGAGGCCCCCTGTCACCGACTTGTAACCACATTTCCCGGGGTAAATCGAGCGAATGAGCTCCACTGAGGACAGGCTCTCCCCAGTGTTCTCTTTGTTCTGCATCTCACAGTAGATTATTCCACCGTCCTCACCCTCAGAGTTGATGTGGTGGACCTCCGTCAGGAAGGCAGTGTCCGTCAGTGTGGGGAACAGAATATGGTCCAGATATATTGGCATCAAGGTGAGAAGGCCCTCGCTTCCAACTGTTGTTATGGTGTAGTTTGTGTGATCGGTGTCGGTCCAGGCATTTGTACCTGAAGCCAGGCAACGGTTACCCAGAAGGTCCAGGACTCCTTTGTAGGGATAGTCCTCGCTTCCCATGAAGACGAGATGCTCCAGGGTGTGGGGGAGGCCGTCATCATCGAATGCTTCAGTTGCTGGATTCAGGAGAATTTATTTTTAGTATTTGTCAATGGTTAAAAGTACATTTATCATCGGGCTACTTCAATATTTTGAATAATCATCTATTTATCTCGAAAACTATCCAGTTGAGATGGAAACGAAAAAAGGTGAGACGAAATTTCCTCCTGAAATCGATAGTTTTCGATCAACCAATAGCTAAAGAAAGTCTGTGGTTGTAATTAGTCGATCAAATTAATTTTGCGGTGGTGCGTTACAATTATATTGACTCATGAAGGTTATGGATAGCTCATTTACCGATGCAGAAGTATCCCCCAACTACTGGGCCATCAACTTCAGCGATGAAAACTGTTATTCCGGTTCTCGAGGACTTGTATTTGTGAACTGGAATGGTATCGTTTGATTTTATCGAGGAAATCAATTCGAAACCGTTCATATTTGTCGTTGGAGAACTATCTACAGGTGCCATGATGCCGTCAATTTGCGGGTTTTGCTAAATTTCGGGCGAATGAGCACAAGAGCCACAAGAGCTCCCAGAGAGCATTGACTAAAGTAGAGGCTCAGTTCTGGGGGTTTGAGTGATCCCAGCAGCATCGTAGTACTGCACCCCAAGAGAGGGAGGGCGCCACACGCAATGCTGGGGTATTTTTTTTTATTAACAAATTTTTATTGCAATGCTGGGGTGTCTCAAGTCGACGGGGTGAATTTTATTTTCTGCGGTATGAATGTTTTTTGTTTTTTATTTGTTTAACTGAAATTTAGCCGACTGTAGAACGTACGGAAGGGGGAAACCACATCTTGTGGAATTCCAATGGAAAAAATTATTCAATATGTTGAACATATACCACTAATAAAATTATATTTTTATAAAGAGCGCGTTGTCCTATCGGTAACGTGCTCGGCTAGCACGCCGACGACTGGGGTTCGATCCCCCGTCCACATTAATTTTTTTTTTTTTAATAATTCCTATTTTTTGTTTTGGTAAATGGCTAATTAATGGAAATATCGTTTAAAAACTGAATATTTGAAAATCGGAACGATATCCAGTGAAATTGAAAAATTAGTAATTTTTTAAAACGATACTTTTGCAAAATATATACTCCTAGTGAAATTTTATTATTATAATAGTACGTTATCCTAGCAGTAACGTACTTGGCTAACACGCCGACGGCCCGGGTTCAATCCCGCCGTCATTCATTTTTTTCTTAAATAATTCCAATTTTTTCTTTTTTAAATGGCTAATCAATTGAAATATTGGTTAAAAACTGAATAGCTCTTCGATTGTCATGATACCCTGATACTTTTTTCCAAAATTTCGAATTTTTCACTTCCAGTGAAAATTTCAGTGAATAGCTCCTCGATTGTCATGTTCTCCTGATACTTTTACAAAAATTTCGAATTTTTCACTTCCAGTGAAAATTTCAGTGAATAGCTCCTCGCTTCTCATGTTCTCCTGATACTTTTACAAAAATTTCGAATTTTTCACTTCCAGTGAAAATTTCAGTGAATAGCTCCTCGATTGTCATGTTCCCCTGATACTTTTACAAACATTTCGAATTTTTCACTTCCAGTGAAAATTTCAGTGAATAGCTCTTCGATTGTCATGTTCTCTGAGTATATCTTTTACATATTGAATAATTTTTTTCTTTTAGAATTCCACAAAATGTGGCTTCCCCCTTCCACTCGTTCTACAGGCGGCTAAATTCCAGGTAAACAAACAAAAAACAAAAAGCATTCATGCCGCAGAAAATAAAATTAACCCCGTCGACTTGATGGGCACCCCAGCATTGCGTGGAGCGCCCTCCCTCTCTTGGGGTGCAGTACTACGATGCCGCTGGGGTCACTCAAACCCCCAGAACTGAGCCTCTACTTTAGTCAATCCTCTTTGCTCTTAACCTCTCAAAACTTCAAGTGTTGAATAATAAAGTGTATAAAAGCGTGAAAGTTCAGTTCAATATAATTCAACCTCATTAATCGCCCTAAAATGGTAAGTAAATGATTCTATCGTCACTATCATATCCCGAATAATTTCATCAATACAGAAAACCCACACGAGCATTATTTAATTACTTGAGGTCCTGCTTATCAATAATTGGAAAATTTTTATTGAACCAGGTTTTGTCCTTGAAATATCAACGAATTTTTCCATTTTTGCAAATGGTATTGTGATTTATTTGCAGGACGTGCAGAAGCTGTCAGTCCATACCCTAGTCTTTCGTTCTTTGAAGCGTTCTCATGATTTTTTCCTTCACAACTACGGGTCTCTCCCTCCAGTCGACGAATCCGTGGAAAAACAGAAGAAGATGATTAAATCCCGTGACTCGTACGGTCCAATAATGGACCGAGTGAAACAGAACGCTCAGACGAAGCCCCGACCCTCCGACAACGACGCAGCAGATCCACCACCTCCTGGTGACGAATCATTCACCACTCCTGAGAGTTCGACTGTTGTTCCTTACACACCCACTTCCACTCCAGTCTCGTCGACTCTCGTCCCGTCCAATTCATCATCAAACACTGTTGCACTTCCCGTGAAAAAAGCCCCGACGATGGCTAAACCCAAGTGGCATGCCCCATGGAAACTCTACAGAGTTATCAGTGGTCATCTGGGTTGGGTGCGTTGCTGCGCCGTGGAACCTGGAAACGAGTGGTTTGCTACTGGCTCTGGAGATCGAGTAATCAAGATCTGGGATTTAGCCAGTGGAAAATTAAAGGTCTCCTTGACTGGTCACATCAGCAGCGTTCGAGGTCTGGCAGTATCTCACAGGCATCCTTACTTGTTCTCATGTGGTGAAGACAGACAGGTGAGGAATAAATTGAGAATTGGAAAATGTCGGCTGCTTGGAATAATTAACTAAATGCAAAGTATGATATCATTTTTGTGATCGCAGGTAAAATGCTGGGATTTGGAGTACAACAAAGTTATTCGTCATTATCATGGACATTTGTCAGCAGTCTATTCGTTGGCTCTTCATCCCACGATTGACGTCTTGGTGACAGCTGGTAGGGATTCGACAGGACGAGTCTGGGACATGAGGACGAAGGCAAACGTCCATACCCTCGTAGGGCACACAAATACTGTTGCCAGTGTAATCTGCCAGGCGTCAGAGCCTCAGATCGTTACAGGCAGCCACGATTGCACGATTAGACTGTGGGATTTAGCCGCTGGAAAGACCAGAATCACATTGACGAATCACAAGAAGAGCGTTCGATCCGTTTGCTTTCATCCAACGCAAAACATGTTCGCTTCAGCATCCCCTGACAATATTAAACAGTGGAAGTGTCCTGATGGGATTTATATCCAGAATTTGTCTGGACATAATGCTATTGTCAATTGCCTGGCTGTTAATGAGGACGGCGTGCTCGTTTCTGGGGCCGATAATGGCACTATGCATCTTTGGGACTGGAGGACTGGTTACAATTTTCAAAGGCTTCAGGCTCCCGTCCAGCCTGGCTCCATGGACAGTGAAGGGGGAATCTTCAGCATCACTTTCGATATGTCTGGCACGAGGATGATCACCACTGAGGCTGACAAAACTATTAAGGTTTATAAAGAAGATGACAGTGCCAGCGAGGAAACGCATCCTGTTAATTGGAGGCCGGATATCATTAAGAGAAGGAAATATTAAATGAGTAATTAAAATTGATTGCAGGACTTGTACGGAATTTTTCTCTGGCGTGGATCTTGGACGAATGAACGTGTGTAATTGTGATTAATTGTATAAATATAAATTTTGATAAGATTAGAAATAGTGTGCATTTATTTTGATGAGTCGATGCATTCTTTTCCCTATCGATTGAAAATATGGAAAGCTACATAAAGAAATTAATTCTCTATCTAGTCGATGTAATTAAAAAACGTTAGCAGTACGATTTTGTATCAAAAATGAAAAACGTTACGATTTATTAGCCTAGAAAATCTTTGATATTTATAACTCCTCGTTGAGATTGTAATCCTCTTCTGGAAAATCTCCTATTTTGATGTACGCAGGTTTCACGAATCCTCCGTATTTGGGAGGACACTCGAAGTATCTCTTTCCACTTACGCTATTAAAAGGGAAATTATACATTTGACACGAAAATAAAAAATTTAGATACAATTTAAGAATGTAAGTGATCGTAGGATACTTACGATCCATCATTTTTCCCCAATGGCTCGTCATATTTAACTCCAACCCACCAGCCCTCTTTGAAATCTGTTTTGCCTGAAAAAATTAATTTGCCTTATGTCTAAATAATTACAACTCGGTCCCTGACGTGCGCCGTTGCGTATATTCATGAATAATTGCGATTTTAACGTTGAAAATTAATCATAATATAATTGAATTGAAGAGTCACCCGATGTTTTCCACTATTATAATCTTAGAAAGGTGATTGCAGTCAAATCGAGCATTCCAGAAAAATCGACAGATCGAAATTAAAAACAAAAAATAACCCATTGCTCTTTTAATTCAAGGGGAGTTCACCATAAAAAAAATGATAAATTATTACTCACCAACGTACATCACGGTTGCTCTTCGTTTTGGAAATGAAGGCACAGAAACTTCACAGCGATTACCCACGTTAATTGTGAGAGCAAGCGCCTCCTCTGCAACTTCCTCGAGCTTTTTCTCTTCCTCCCTCTTCTTAAGCTCTTCCTCATTATATTTTCCCAATTTATTCTTCGCCAGAAATGCCTTAACGGTGTCTTCAAACCCCCGAAATTTATTCATTAAATTTCGGCTTAATTAAATCAACCGAGAACTCGGGATTTTCAATAATTGGGAAATTTACCTGGACGCTTTGAATATTCCTCCTCAGATATCTCGAATTTTTCCACCTTCGACAAGTCCTCCTCTGGACGAATGAATGTGTCAGTAACCTAGGGCAATCAGTCATTAGCAGTAGAGGACAAGAGGACAATAGTAAAAAAAAACAAATGAGGAATATTACATGAACTCTCATGCCATCGTCGATGGGATAGGACCCTAGGAGACGTGATCCATTATCAGGACTGCAGACTGACTGATTATTCTTGTCGTAGACCTCCAGTTTCATCGTGGCACGATTACCTCCTGTCAGTAGCTCCAATTTTCCCTGGAGACGATCCAATAAATCAAAAGGAACCACGAAAATTCTATTACTTTATTCCATTCACTATTTCTTCGATAATACACGAATTATTACTCATAAATACGTGTAGTACACAGTATTTTAATGAAAACCAGGAAATTATTGAATTTAAGTACCTAAATGTTATTGGTAATTGTACCTTAAAGTCATCTATGGTAATTCCCTTCTGAAATCTTCTCTCGACGGAGCACGATTGCTGTCCGGAATTCGAAATAGTTAGATTCACGAAATCTGAGGTGATCACCGTGTATTCAGCCATCCTCTTGATTATAATCGCAATAAAATTGAATTAATCGAGTATCACAGGCCTGTCTGTTTGAAATGCACAACGACTTCCAATTACGAACCAAATTTTCTGCGAATCAGCTGACGCGCTGATCCCCAGTGGTTCTCCATCAATCCACAGAGGAGCTGCGGTAGAATTTTTTATCACACTATTTTTCAAAATCCACTATCGGAACATCGGATTGCAGTCAATTATTTCAATCACCACTAATTTCGGTAATTATCGAATTTATGAATTACTCTCTTTTCTCTAGAATGCGTATATAGTTTTAGAGGCTTGGTTACTGGAATATTACTTGTAATTGTTGAGAATGGACGAATGAATATTCCTGAACAATTTT